CCCCCTTAAATAAAATTATTTAAAAAAATAAAATAAAAAATAAATAAAAATAATAATAATAATAATAAAAACATCAGTATGTCAATATTTGTGTGTTTGAAATATGGAATGCACACAGTAATATGTGTAAGATATGATAGAAAATCATATTCGCAACCTTTCCTCTGCCTGTCAAACGCCTCGTCAGCTCTGGGCGATACAGAAAGTGCCCCGAGGAGGCGGGTCTACGTAGCAGTTAAGCCAATTGCTAATTTAAGATATGAATGTATGACATAAAATGTAGCCAATCAGCGATCTTAAATCGAATCCAAGGAGGGCGATTATTTTATCGCCCCAAGCTCGCCCCTGATAAAATAAGGACCGGGCTCCAGTGGCGCCATTTTTACTAGACGACAATGGCGAGCGCAAACGTTACTCCTCCAAGACCCAACCCTAACTCGGTGAAATCTCTCCTCCAAGATCTGTTTGAGAGGAGAACTTTGTCAGAGAAAGTTCGGGTGAAAGAGCTGGGCCCAGATCAACCTGACCTCTCAATCAGACAGCAGGCTAGCGAGAAAGGGAAGCAGTATATGCGCGGCTTCTCCCGTAGCTGGTACACCAGGAAGGCTTGGCTAGCTGGGTGCACTGATGCTAATGCTTTATTTTGCTTTCCGTGCTTGCTTTTTAAAACGACGGGGTCAGATTCAGCATGGACAGGTACCGGAGTGAGGGATATGAAGCACCTGTCAGAGAAGGTAAAGAAACATGAGAACACCAGGGCACACATGGACAACTCTGTAAAGCTAGCTGTATTAGGAAGGGTGAACATTGCTACGCAGCTGGATGACGGCCACAGGATTGCGGTGAGGAAACACAATGAGGAGGTGGATAAAAACAGGCACATTCTATCCAAAATTATCGATTGTGTGAAGTTCTGTGGGGCTTTTGAGTTGGCCTTGCGTGGGCACGAGGAGACTGACTCCTCGGACAACCCCGGCATTTTCCGGGGCTTAGTGGATTTTGTTGCCTCCCTCGACAGTGTGCTGGAGGAGCACCTGAAGACAGCTACCGTTTTTAAGGGCACGTCAAAGACGATACAGAACGAGCTGTTGGACTGTATGCTGTCAGTGCTTAAGGATTACATCCTGGAGGAAGTAAAGAGTGCTGATTTTATCGCCATTCAAGCTGACGAGACGACTGACGTTTCCACCCACTGCCAGTTGGTGCTTGTGATACGCTACATCGATGCTAAAAGTAACGTCCAAGAGCGTTTTTTCGAGTTCATTTTGATCGAGAACGCAACCGCCGACACCATCGCTACAGCGCTGCTGGAGAGGCTCAGCACCATACTCTCACATGGACAAAAGGCCAAACTTATTGCCCAGGCTTACGACGGAGCAAGTGTGATGAGGGGAGCCACCGGCGGAGTGCAGCGTAAAATAGTGGATGTGTACGAAAATGCGCACTACGTCCACTGCTATGCACATCAGCTGAACCTCATCATGCAGCAGGCTACTTCACGCATCCCCAGGATCGGCACTTTCTTTTCCGACCTTGCAGGATTTTCTGCTTTCTTCTCCAGGTCTCCCAAGCGAACCACCGTGCTTGACGAAGTGGTTGCGCATAGACTCCCCAGAGCCTCTACAACACGGTGGAACTTCCACAGTCGCGCTGTAAACACTGTGTACGAGTACAGGGATGACCTCCTAACGTGTTTCCAGACCATCAGAGACTCTGGGAACTTTGATGCCCCGACTGTCAGAGAGGCGGGGGGCTTTGTGAGGATGCTCGAAGACGAGGCTTTCTGTTTTTTCCTGGCACTGTTCCACAAGATCATGCCAAATGTGGACATGCTTTTCAGCCAGCTGCAGAAGAGGAACATCGACCCTGTCTTCATTAAAGCACTTGTCCAGAGGTTCACAGACAGCATGCTAACAATCAGGTAAATAACTATATTTACTATTGGCTGATAAAGATGTTGTTAGAAAGATGAATAGTTCACTTACAACAGTTTAAAAGCCTAAATGTGTCTGGTCATCAAAGTGAGTGATTATCATAGAGCCGTCACAATTATATTTGTTTTAGTATTTTAAAAGGAAAGAGAAGACACAATCAGACGTTGATAATAATGCAGGAAAGTACTACACAGTTTGTAATAATTATTCAGGTGTCCACCAGGTCAATTTCTAGAAGAGGCCTAGTTGTTATTGAAGATTAACTTTATTGCTAAGTGCACAGCAGAACAAAATGATGTTGCATCCCTCTCACAAATGTAATAGAAAAAGGCTTTAAAACGTAATAACATCAGTTAATTATGTACATCACAGGTTAAAAGCAGTTACTAGACATAGTTTGTGTGTATATACACACTATCTGTCTGTCTGTCTGTCTGTCTGTCTATATATATATATATATATATATATATATATATATATATATATAAAAGTCACTGGTTGTGTGTTGAGGGGGAATTACAGTGAGTTAAGAAGTCTGATTGCAAGTTATCAAATTAAACTTTATTTTTTGGACCCAGGGCCTCAATTCCCTCTTTGTGTGGGGACAGCGCATCTGACGAGTGGTCCTCTGTAGCTCAGCTGGTAGAGCACGGCGCTTGTAACGCCAAGGTAGTGGGTTCGATCCCCGGGACCACCCATACACAAAAATGTATGCACGCACGACTGTAAGTCGCTTTGGATAAAAGCGTCTGCTAAATGGCATATTAATATTAATAATTAATATTTTAATATTAATGACGAGCAGCAACAGCCCATCAAGCGACGGAGGATGCTGGGACCAGGAGAACAACAGAGGTTGGCTATAGAGGTAAGTTGTGATGTAATTGTCAGTGTTTCCCCCTAGAACTTTTTTCAGGCCTGGTAGTATGTAGCCAAAACCCTGAACAATCAGCACCTTGGTAATCATATACTTGAGTTGGACATAGGCATGTGTCAGTCAGGATCACTTGCATCAAAATAGCTTAATTGCAAATTAAAGCTGATGATGTATCTTTTACAGGTATGTGATACCATCCTGAGTCATGCCAAAGAGAGGTTCTCCTTCACCCAGCACCTCATCAGCGCAACACTATTGCACGGAGAGTTGTTCCCACAACACAGTGTGAAGTTCCCCGATACAGCGCTTGAAACAACCGTGGAGGCGTACCCCATGTTGAACAAGGCCAAGCTCAAAACTGAACTGTCCCTCATCTATGAGAACAGTGAGTTCAAGGCTTGTAGTGGTGCAGTGCCCCTGTACCAGTTCTTCATGGAGAACAACCTTCAGAGCACTTTCACAGAGACTGCCAGCCTCCTCAAGATCCTCATCACCACACCCATGACAACTGCTGAGTCAGAAAGGTGCTTCTCTACACTGAAAAGGATCAAGACCTTCCTGAGAAACAGCATGACACAGGATCGCCTGAACGCTCTGGCCATGCTCTCCATGGAGAAGAAACTTGTCAGGGACATTCCTGACTTTAATCAAAGGGTCATTGAGAGGTTTGCCACTCAGATGGACAGACGGGCAAAATTCCTGTACAAATAAGATGACAGACACACACACACAGAGCAGCTCTGGCCGCATGTTTCTTTGTATATAGTTGACCTTAGCATAAAAAATCCAGTTATATATGGTACTCTAGAAAGTCTTAATAGTGTCTTTGCTAATATTACTGTATATATGTTGTTTTGAATCAATTAATTGTTGCAGTTCTGGAGCACATTAACAATTAGTCACATTTAGTATGATCATAAAATACTGTATGCTATTCTTCCAGTCAAAGGTTTGAGTTCATCCACTTGATATCCATTTCTATATTATACATCCTTTTATACAGTGTAAGATTTCCTATAAACTTTATAATAATTTCATGTTATTGTCCACTTTCCACTCTGTTCTGACAGCATGCCTGTTGCATTGCCTGTTTACTACCAATGGTGAAAAGTTCACTTTAAATGCAAATGAAAGGCTTGGGTTTGTGTAATATGTTTTTGTGTAAGAATGCCTCAACTTTTTAATATTGGCATTAAATAATTACTGAATGTTTCACTGAGCACTGCTGTCCTGCAGTTTGTGTTAAAATATATCGCGATGGTTACAGGAAAAAAAAAGTATGGCACAGCCCCACCGAGAATATTTTTCACCAGCCGCCACTGCTAGCCGTGCTAAATCCCTTTTACGTTTAGCTTAACGTCTTCTTACACCTATTTCAAAGGAAACATATAAATAGCAGGGGATAGAAGCGAATAGAATCAGGAAAGCTGGGAGACTGGCAAGGTATAAAGCAACTGCTGTGTCTGTCATTTCCAACCTGCTTTAATAACGATCACTTTTTCAGATCCTCCCTGTGACCCATATTGACAGCTGCTTTGACTATTCTACAATCACATCTGATGCTTTAGGCATTATTGTTTAGGATTTAGATTATTTAAAAATGCATGGATTTTTATGCCTTTTTGATTTCTATCGGTTTTCTGATGTTTTTCCCATATGGAATATTTAAAGCGGCAATCAGTAGTTGAAACAATAGCAAAGAGTCCTCCCCACCACTGTTTCAGGAGAAAGTGGAGGGATGGCGCTGGAAAAATGTAACCACTCTCAAATTCAAAGACAGAGCTATAGATGCAAGGACTGACCATCCATGATATCAAAATGATAGTTTGAACCATGTTATTTGTTTACAAACATTGAAGTAAAACAAGCTTATATTTTGGGTTCTGATGGGGTACAACAGTTGAACTAAGCTCATGAGGCATTTATAAGTTACAGTATATACTTCAAGAATCAATGGGTACATATCATTAATTTACAAGTCCAAAAATGGATGTAACAGCTGCTGCTTGCCTCTTTAAGTACTCTTTTAGGTTTTACGACGGAGAGAAAGTCAAGCGACAGAACTTCATGCATACAGTAGGTCCATCATTTCCCTCCTCTGCCCAACATCCATTCATCCCAGCTCCCAACCGTCCCCCCGAAAAAGGACTTGACAAATCTTCACCATCGGGTTTAATCTCTCCCTACAGGTCAAAGTGGTGCTGCGAGTCTGCCCCTCTTCCTCCGTACCCCCTTCCCAGCCCCAGCCACCCATTCTCAGAGTGGACACAGCTAAAAAAAGGGTCAACATGATGGACCCAGCTACCAACCACAATCAACAGCTACACTCAAACTCTACACCGACACACGCTGGGGCAGCCATGGGTCCCTCTAAGACATATGTCTTTGACGCAGCCTACCCCTCAGAGTCAACCCAGGTCCGTGGATACAGCACAGTACAGTTGGTTTGTTATCTCTGTCTGCTGACCTGAAAACTGAAGGGACATTAAATGCAGTTTCCAGATAGCCATCGCTATGTCGTAGACTCTCAGCCTCTTCCCTTTCCTAGCATTGTGGGTTAGTTTTGTTTGATGGATCGGACACATTAAGCCAGAGCATTTTATTAATTCATTCTTCTCAACTTTTGTTTTATTTGTGTTTTTAACAGCAGGTTAAATGCTAAGGTGGATGGATGGATTCACCCTCCTTTTCTCATTTTTTCACCCTCCTTTTTGTCTCTACCAGGCGGAGGTGTGTGTAGGTATTCTGCCTGACGTCATCTGTTCTGTGGTCAACGGGGCAGACGGCTGCATTCTGTGTTTTGGACATGGTGAAGTGGGTAAGTAATGACTGTATGTGGCCAGGATGACCAACCCTCATATGGAGGGTGGTATTACCACAACCCCTTTTACATAAGGAACAGATCCATCTCTTTCATACATCCCTTCCATCCATCTATTTCCTATGCGGTGGCATGGGAGGTGCTTCATCCATCTCCCTTATCCCTCACTTCCCTTTGGGAGCAGTGGTGACATGGAGGTGTTCCCATCCATTCTCTCTTCCTTCATTTATCCCTTCTTCCATTTCGTTCATCTTCCACCTCTTCAACAAGTAAAAGTGGGAGATTCAGCCATAATGAATCCCAAGTGTTTTCCAGCTTCTTCCACCAATGTTTCGCACGTGAAACATGTCAACACGACGAGGCGAGACCAAAAATATTTTGTCAAGCAGGAGGAGGCTTTTAATAGACGATTGTCAGTGTTACACAAATAAATAAACCCCCTCTCTTTCTACTACACATGACGTCACTGGCCATAAATCAGATTGAATTAGTCAGGTGGTGTAGATGGCGGCCGGTCGGCTGCCAGGGGATATAATTCTCTCTCCCTCCGCAGAATGAACCTCTGCAATGAATAATGGACAAAATCAATTCTCAATTCGTCTGGAACCTAGCCGAACTCTGCTAGCCGAACCTAACGAGTGTGCTCGCATACTCCCTTAAAAGAACTTCGCTTGAAAAATGAGAAAAAAGCGTCAATAGTACTGTTTTTCCATTTTGAGACGCCAAAGACAGTATAGACTTCCTCAAAATAGTCAGAATTAATCTAAGATAACTCAAGAAATATGTTTTTGCCAAAGAGATCTTAGTCACGCAATTTTACATCTGACTACATAAGATGTTTGGTGCACTATTTTTCTATGAAAAAAATTGCATGAAAACAAGTCGTCTCTCGTGCATGACAACAAAAAAATTATTGAAGAATCCCTACTGTTGACCAATCACCGACGAAGGGGCATAGACTTCGGCTCCGAACTTTGGCTTGCCTCCAGAAAAAATTTTGTGTCCCCGAACAGCCGAAAAACCCTCAGCGAAGTCCAAAACGAACAAAAACGTTGAATGTTTCTGTATTTTGAATTGTTTTGTCATTTAGCAGACGCTCTTATCCAGAGCGACTTACAGTTAGTGAGTGCATACATTTTTCATACTGGCCCCCCGTGGAAAACGAACCCACAACCCTGGCGTTGCAAGCGCCATGCTCTACCAACTGAGCTACAGGGGACCCCTGTATCCAGTACCACCTCTGTCCCTAAGCAATTTGAATGTCTAGTCCCAAACGTGGGCCTTGGTAATAATGCCCATTTGACACTAATGGGAATTTATCGCCCTTCCTCAGTCTCCTTATGTGCTCTTAACAAATTGTCTGACCTGCTGTCTAACTATGCTAAATCCAACTTTAAACACCCCGAAAAATTATTCAAACAAATACCCCTCATAAGTTTACAGTCAATGGGATATTTTCCAATGAGTTCAGTGACCATTCTCCGGTTGCCTGCATATGAGATGTTAAGATACCTAAATCTCGCTCATGCATTATTATAAAGATACATCTTTTAATGAGCTAAATGTTTTGTCTGAGCTGAGGTTGAGTGACTGGTGGGTTGTGTCAACTATCACTGACTCGGATCAGGCCCTATTGTTTTATATCCCTGTTTAACTCTGTTGCAGATAAACATGCGCTGCACAAAATGCTAAGGGTGAAGACAGATCTAATCCTTGGTTCACGCATGAGTTGTCTGTGAAATTACAGGGAAAAAATGTAGCTTGGGCTAATGCAAGACTGACTGAGTAAATTTACATGCACACTAATAATTTGATATTATCCTGATTATGGCAGAAGGCCGAATATGGCATTAGTCATGTAAACACCTTACTCTGTTTATCTTAATCGGCGTCAGGTCATAATTGAAGTAAGCATACGCTGATTTAAACAGTTTGTTTTCTGAGCATTCTTTCACATCATTAGGACATGTAAACAGCTTAATCAGCGTTCCAGCGGTATATTTGATCTGCACATGTGCCAGCACCAGGTAGCGCAAGCTTCCCTCTTATGCGTGAGTGAAGTGAGTTCAGAAAAACTGAAAGAACGCATCTCAAATAGTCTTCGCAAAAAGAACATAGTCACTGTGGTAGAATGTTTGTTTTGATTGGTGATTTACATTGATAAAAAGTCCCATCAGTAGCCAGATTTCAGATGTTTCCATGTAAACAGGATTATTAGGGAAATCGTTCTTCTTGCAAAGCATGTAAACGTTTTAAACAAACTATTAAATTAATCTGACTATCCACAATAATCGCATTATTGTGTGCATCTAACCGTGCTCACTGATTCTACGTCTTATTGGTCCTTCAGACACTTGTGAAATAGATGTCTATCTCTTGTTAGAAAAGCAAAATCAACATATTTCTTGAATTGTGTATCAGAGAGTGGTGGTAATCCATCTTATTTCTGGAAAGTGGTCAAATCTTTTAAACAAAACTCCACCCCCTCTTTGCCCCAGCAGGTTTTGACAGCCTCTAGTCCCATACTAGACAAAATGGACACTTGTGGTGCTTTTAATGACCATTTTTCTTCAGCTGGTGACCTGTTTGTAAGGATAGTCTAATTAATCTCAATTAGGGTGTTAGGGTGTTAACCTAGTAGCTGAGGACTGTAACTGTTTTTCATAAATGTTGTGTTTTATATTGATTTCTGTTTTATTTTACATTGTATTGGTTGTTGTGATCAGAGCACCATTGGGAATGAGAGCATTGTCTCAATGGGTTTTCCCTGAATAAATAAACTACATAAAAAAGCTCCGAAAGGGTTCGTTGTGGGCATCAGGGAAGAACCCTTTTTGATTTAAGTGGCATCTTTTTTCAAAGAGTGTAATGGAGGAGGATAAGGGTCTGCTAATAGGTGACAGTGATATACAATGTAAAGTGCTGTTTGTAAATCCAATCTGTTATTATTAATACATTTTCTTCTTAAAATCAGGGAAAAAATTGTGGTCTTCTGTAGCTCAATTGGTAGAGCATGGCGCTTGTAACGCCAGGGTAGTGGGTTCGATCCCCGGGACCACCCATACGTAAAAATGTTTGCACACATGACTGTAAGTCGCTTTGGATAAAAGCGTCTGCTAAATTGCATATTATTATTATTATTAAATATGTTCTGTAAATACTGCCATTTCAGAGGACTGTATTTTGACTGTTTTGGGTGAGGACAATTAACACTGCTTAGTTAGAACCTTAATTTGGGGGAAATCTGCCCTTTCCAACCCCTCTGTCCTCCAAGTTAACTGTACAATGGGGACATAATATGATGCTGGATGGCAGTGCAGTTGAAGGTCTCTAGTACTGTAAATACTGCCAGTTCCAATGAGCCTGTTGTGATTTGTGTAATTAGATCATGTTCGTCTTAAGAAACATGGTATTAGACCAACTCTGACCCCTGCCCCCCTTCCCACAAGTTGTTTCCCAAGATGCTCTCGCTTTCTTTCTCTCTCTGTCTCTCTCTCTCACGCACACACATGCGTGTGCTGCACACACACACACACACAAACACACTTACACACATACACGCGCGCGCACACACACGCACATACACACACACACACAGAGAGAGAGAGAGAACCCAAACTGACTGTGTTGTGTGTGCCTTATTGCTGTATTTAACAGAGAAGTCCCACACCATGATGGGTAGTGATAGCAGTAGCCAGAGTCTAGGGGTCATCCCCTGTGCCATCTCCTGGTTCTACAGTCACATGGAGAGGAGGAGGGAGAGGACTGGGGCCAGCCTGGCTGTGTCTGTCTCTGCTATGGAGGTCTGTGGGGAGGACGAGGTCATCAGGGACTTACTGTCAGGCAACCTCCAGGACAGCCCACCAGCAGACCTATATTTCTATGGGGACCCCATCTATGGAATGCAGGTAAATTATGATCGATGGTATTATTGTTGTGGACTGTTCAGGTCAGATAGAAATTTGAAACGCTTATAGAACAGACTTGAGTCTTTGTTATGCTGAACATGGAATCGTCAGTTCTGCATTTAACTTTTCTATGTGCAGCATTAGTGTGAAATCTGTGCATAAGTACATTTTCGTAATGAAGCCCCAGGTCTTAAGAACATTGAAAAACATGTGCTGCTGTAGTTACACTGTTATCACTACATACAGTATGCCACTAAGGTGTCATGTCACACTAAGGGTATCTTGTATAATGACTGTGTTTTGTTTGTTAATGCCCCAGTCATGAACTAAATAAACTAGTTCATCCCTTATTCAGATGTATTGTCAAAAAAGCCAGGTAGTGGGAGTTAACGTATTTACGCTACATAGTCCCAGTTACATAATGACATTGGCATTGTCACATTGAACAACATTTAATATTACAATTCATGCTGTGCAGGGCCGGATTCTGTGCTAGAGTTCCTCTATCCCCCTCTCTCCCTCTCTACATACAGTGCCTTCAGAAAATATTCATACCCCTTGACTTATTCCACATTTTGTTGTGTTACAGCCAGAATTCAAAATGGATTAAATATATTTTTTTCTCACCCATCTACACACAATACCCCATAATCACAAAGTGAAAACATGTTTAAGAAATCTTTGCAAATTTACTGAAAAGGAAATGCAGAAATATCTCATTTAGATAAGTATTCACACCACTGAGTCAATACATGTTAGAATCACCTTCGTCAGCGATTACAGCTGTGAGTCTTTCTGGGTAAGTCTCTAAGAGCTTTGCACATCTGGATTGTAAGTATTTGCAAAAAAATCATTGCTAGACTGCCATTTTCAAGTCTTGCCATAGAATTTCAAGCAGATTAAAGTCAAAACTGTAACTAGGCACTCAGGAACATTTAATGTCGTCTTGGAAAGCATCTCCAGTGTGTATTTGGCCTTGTGTTTTAGGTTGTCCTGCTGAAAGGTACATTTGTCTACCAGTGTCTGTTGGAAAGCAGACTGAGCCAGGTTTCCTCTAGGACTTTGCCTGTGCTTAGGTCTGTTCTCTAGTCCTTGCCAATGACAAGCATACCTATAACATGATGCAGCCACCACCATGCTTGAAAATATGAAGAGTGGTACTCAGGGATGTGTTGTGTTGGATTTGCCCCAAACATAACGCTTTGTATTCAGGACATAAAGTTAATTTCTTTGCCACATTTTTTGCAGTTTTACTTTAGTGCCTTGTTGCAAACAGGATGCATGTTTTGGAATATATTTATTATGTACAGGCTTCCTTCTTTTCACCCTGTCATTTAGGTTACGATTGTGGAGTAACTACAATGTTGTTGATCTATCCTCCGTTTTCTCTTATCACACCCATTAAACTTGGTAACTGTTTTAAAGTCACCATTGGCCTCATGGTGAAATCCCTGAGCGGTTTCCTTCCTCTCTGGCGCCTGAGTTTGGAAGGACGCCTGTATCTTTGTAGTGACTGGGTGTATTGCTACACCATCCAAAGTGTAATTGATTACTTCATTATGCTCAAAGGGATATTCAGTGTCTGCTTTTTAAAATGTTTAACCCATCAACCAATAGGTGCCCTTCTTTGCGAGGCATTGGAAAACCAACCTGGTATTTGTGGTTGAATCTGTGTTTGAAAATCACTGCTCAACTGAGGGACCTTATAGAATATTGTATGTGTGGGGTAACAGGTAGTCATTCAAAAATCATGTTAAACACAGTTATTACAATAAGAGTCCATACAACTTATTGTGTGACTTGTTAAGTAAAGTTTTACTCCTGAACTTATTTAGACTTGCCATAACAAATGGGTTGAATACTTATTGACTCAAGACATTTCAGCTTTTCATTTTTAATTAATTTGTAAAAATGTCTAAAAACATAATTCCACTTTGACATTTTGGGGTATTATTTGTAGGCCATTGACACAAAATCTAAATGTAATAAATGTTAAATTCAGGCTGTAACACAACAACATGTTGAAAAGATCAAGGGGTGAGAATACATTCTGAAGGCACATCCTTTTTGTTCTGTCATAATATATACAGTACCAGTCATAAGTTTGGACACACCTACTCAGTCAAGGGTTTTTCTTTATTTTTACTATTTTCTATATTGTAGAATAATAGTGAAGACATCTAAACTATGAAATAACACATATGGAATCATGAAGTAACCAAAAAAGTGTTAAACAAATGATAATATATTTTATACTTTATATTTTAGATTCTTCAAAGTAGCCACCCTTTGCCTTGATGACAGCTTTGCACACTCTTGGCATTCTCTCAACCAGCTTCACCTGGAATGCTTTTCCAACAGTCTTCATGATAGGTCCCATGTAGCTCAGTTGGTAGAGCATGGCACTTGCAACACCAGGGTTGTGGGTTCGATTCCCATCGGGGGCCAGTATGAAAAAAATATGTATGCACTCACTAACTGTAAGTCGCTCTGGATAAGAGCATCTGCTAAATGACTAAAATGTAAATGTCTTGAAGGAGTTCCCACATATGCTGAGCACTTGTTGGCTGCTTTTCCTTCACTCTGCAGTCCAACTCATCCCAAACCATCTCAATTGGGTTGAGGTCGGGTGATTGTGGAGGCCAAGTCATATGATGCAGCACTCCATCACTCTCCTTCTTGGTCAAATAGCCCTTACACAGCCTGGAGGTGTGTTGGGTCATTGTCCTGTTGAAAAACAAATGATAGTCCCACTAAGCGCAAACCAGATGGGATGGTGTATCGCTGCAGAATGCTGTGGTAGCCATGCTGGTTAAGTGTGCCTTGAATTCTAAATAAATCACAGACAGTGTCACCAGCAAAGCACCCCCACACCATCACACCTCCTCCTCCATACTTCACACATGCGGGGATCATCCGTTCACCTACTCTGCGTCTCACAAAGACACGGCGGTTTGAACCAAAAATCTCCAATTTGGACTCATCAGACCAAAGGACAGATTTGCACCCGTCTAATGTCCATTGCTCATGTTTCTTGGCCCAAGCAAGTCTCTTCTTCTTATTGGTGTCCTTTAGTAGTGGTTTATTTGCAGCAATTCAACCATGAAGGTCTGATTTATGCAGTCTCCTCTGAACAGTTGATGTTGAGATGTGTCTGTTACTTGAACTCTGTAAAGCATTTATTTGGGCTGCAATATGAGGTGCAATTAACTCTAATTAACTTATCCTCTGCAGCAGAGGTAACTCTGGGTCTTCCTTTCCTGTGGCGGTCCTCATGAGAGCCAGTTTCGTCATAGCGCTTGATGGTTTTTGCGACTGCGCTTGAAGAAACTTCTTGACATTTTCCAGATTTACCTTCATGTCTTAAAGTAATGATGGACTGTTGTTTCTCTTTTCTTATTTGAGCTGTTCTTGCCATAGTATGGACTTGGTCTTTTACCAAATAGGGCTATCTTCTGTATACCACCCCTACCTTGTCACAACACAACTGATTGGCTCAAACGCATTAAGAAGGAAAGAAATTCCACAAATTAACTTTTAACAAGGCACACCTGTTAATTGAAATGCATTCCAGGTGACTACCTCATGAAGCTGTTTGAGAGGATGCCAAGAGTGTGCAAAGCTGTCATCAAGGCAAAGGGTGGCTATTTGAAGAATCTAAAATCTAAAATATATTTTGATTTGTTTAACACTTTTTTGGTTACTACATGATTCCATATGTCTTATTTCATAGATTTTATCTCTTCACTATTATTAGTCCCCTGTAGATCAGTTGGTAGAGCATGGCGTTTGCAACGCCAGGGTTGTGGGTTCGTTTCCCACGGGGGGCCAGTATGAAAATGTGTGCACTCACTAACTGTAAGTCGCTCTTGATAATAAATGTAAATGTATTCTACAATGTAGAAAATAGTAAAAATAAAGAAAAACCCTTGAATGAGTAGGTGTGTCCAAACTTTTGACTGGTACTGTATATATATATATTTTTAAATCTAAATAATAAAATAAAATAAAACATGCCATGTTGTCTTCCTTCCCTGCAGCTTCAGCACACCAATGTGGTTTCTGCCCCCAACGCAGAGAAAGCTGCTTTCCTCCTGGATGTAGCCATCGCATCACGTCACCGTGCCAACGGCCCGAACAGCGGAACTCGCAGTGACATCAGCACACCATTGTCCTCCTGCAGCGGCTCCCATATGTTCTTTACTCTGCACGTCCAACAGCAGCTCGCAGAGGGCGGCGCCAAAGGTTTTTATTTCTCTACATTGTAGAAAAGAGAACTCCTGCACAAACTATGGTTACACCCTATTCCCTATATAGTGCACTGCTTTTGACCAGAGGCCATAGGGCTCTGATTGAAACTAGTGCACTACATAGTGAATAGGGTTCCATTTAGGATGCACACATTATTAACTTTGCATGTTGCTTCATTTAAAGGGTAGGAGTTTTTACTCACCAATGTAACAACACAGTGTGGTCAAAGATTTAGTAACTTAGTTGCAGTCACGATCTGGTTACCTATAAGTACAAACATAGTTATGTTTTTGGGTTATTACATATTTAATAACTTATTTATGGATATTTTCTAAACTACCCACAATGCACTATTTCTCAATGCCATATGGAGGATCTACGCTGTGCTACCAAATTCGTATGCTAGCTCGGTAGCTAGCTCAAGCTGGCTAACGTTAGCCACTAGCCATGCTAGCATGTAATTACATTCCAGACCAAGTGCTGGATTTCCCTGATTCCCGGTGAAGCGCCCGCCTTCACTTCCCCCTCGCTTTGGTAGCTAACTCAGCTGGATGGGCCCTAGCTGTCAATCTGTAAATCTCTCCTCTCTCTTTGCTTTTAATCTGCGGTTATGTTTTAGTTGTGTTGTGTTAGTTGTGTTCTAGCTGGTAACATAACTGTGGTGATTGGCTAGGCTGGCTAGGCTAATAGCTAGTTCATACCTGCCAACTTTTCAAAAAACCTTGGAGTGAGATTTTGTCCTGGGTCCGCCTGGGTCCTGCAGTCGGTGAAAAGCAATTGCACTGCCTGCGTCTCAGAACTGCGGCCGCCTTGATCTCTTGAGGTTATCGTTGCCCACGTGTGCATGACGTCCGAGAAAGTCGGGATCAAGTTGGACACAAACCTAACCAGCATGCATTGGGCGGTGATCGCCGGTGATCGATTCTGCGCAGACCTGGCTCATCTCAAATGAGCCTCTTGTCTATGATCTGTCAGCATGGTTATACTGGCCTGTGGCCTTCTTGGAGGCCTTGATGATATCGGAGGGGGTCTCCCATTTGAAGCAGGGCTCCAGATTGGCCATCTTTATGGTCATTATTGAGGACAGGGTGCCATCCAATGCTAGGCTGTTTCTTCTCCTGGTTTTGTTCAGTCCCACAACTGAAAACACCCTCTCAGCATCTGCATTTGCATGGGGCAACACCAGGACAAGCTTGGCGACGGCAGCAAGCCTCTCGAATTCTTTGGCTCCTGTCACCTATGGAAAATGCACCAAAACACAATGGAAAAACATACCTTGATTTTTGATTGATTAATACTGTAAGTATACTGTAGGTTGATCCATTAACAAAGTTCAGATAAAAACATGCATCATTTGCAACATGCATGACACATATACGCATGCAACAATTTTAAGCAACAGATGTAGCCAAGCCACACCTGCCAAAAGGAAAGACAAAAAATGAAAAAATGTTTACCTTATGCTTCCGGGTTGCCATTTCAGCCCAGAAGCTTTCCATTTCAGTTTAGTCCTGCAGGGATATCATTGGCATGGTCTGATAATTTAGAAACTCCTCACCCAGAAGGTCATGCTCCTCTGGCCCATGGTATGGGAGGAGATGGGAAAACCTATTTATGAAAGTAGAGTTACAAGTTGTTACGTTTTAGGTATATGGTCATCAACCAGCAGCAGTTCATACACATCTTTGAGGAGAAGCCACATAAGAATATCTAATGTGCAGTTTAGGAGTGAACACACCTCATCATAAAACACAGGGTATTTTAGCTAAGATGATAGACAATAATTAGAGAAAAAAAACTAACCTTTCAACAAAGTACAGGACATCTTCGATGTCACTTTCAGCCCTCTGCCGTACATCTACAAATTGTGCGTGCTTGATCAGTGGCTCTTCCAGTGGCAGCTTCTAAAGTGCATAGTCCACAGCACTTGTCAGGAAACACAACACAGCTTCATGGAATGAATCCACCTGCTGTGGTGTGATGTCACCCTCGTCGAGTAATCTGTTAAGTTTAGCCCTGGTTGTGAACCCAATGTTCAACTTTCTTCCTGTCACAGATACAGCATATCGGTATAAGGTACAAGGCTAAATATCACATATCACAGTGTTTGATCATAATAATAGTCCCAATATGCAATGGCCGTTCCATCTGTTGCTAAATGACTTAAATGTAAATGTAAATGTAAATACTAACCTGGTAAATGGTTTGCCTTTTCTTTAAAGGCAATTTCACAAGGCTCCTCATGGCACTGCAGAGCTTCTGGAACCATAAACTTGGAACATAGCTTGCGTACGAATTTCACCATCTATAACAGACATTTACAAAAATAGTAGGTGAAACCTGTTTTAGAGGATCCCTGCAGATATCAGCAAGAAACACAGAATGGAAAAAACTGCAAAATCCAATCCCACCTCATCATGTAACAAAAATATTGATGACTGCTCTCTCTGAAGCAGCAAGTTGAAAGAAGTGAAAGTTGGTACGGTGGCTTGGAAGAACAGCAGGTACACTTCTGTCATGGGGTCAGTGAATGTCTGCACAAGTCTCTTGAACCTGGCCTGATTTTCATCTTGAATCAATCAATAAATAACACAAAACAAGAGGTTGTCATTAATACAAGTATGTGACTAACAATCCATGTAGTTGCTGCATAATGAAATTGAAAATTGATGACCATACTAGCAGATTTGTAGTAGCTGGCCAGAGGTTCATACAGCCTCAGGATCCTGGTCACACAACGTTCAAGGCTTAGCCAACGGACCGAGATATGCAGGAGGACCTCCATGTACTCCGGACAGTAAGCGGGTTCATCTTTTCCACTACTAAAATGACAAGTTAGAATCATACAGATGTTCATGTTATTAGATGTTTAAAAATACACAAAGCACATGTTTTGCAGAGGAGAAAAATCTCAAATAGTTTGTGAAATACCAGTGTCATTCGACCCATCCGTAACAAGGGTATACGGGGCTTTTTTCATCTCCTTCACAAGCTCCTGTGTGAAATATGGTGTGAGTGCTTCATTGGTAATGCAGGATGACTTAGTCCTGGCACACCTGGACTCCTGCGCTGTCTTCGAATCTCCGAAACATTCTTTTAGGAGAGGCCCCAGGTGGTCCGCAAAGGCTAGGGGGACGTTGTGAACTACCAACCCAGCTGTCATTTTGACCTCAGCCCTTCTTGTCTGTAAGAAATTAAAAATTATTAATCCTCCCAAAAAGACCATAGTTTATTTAAAATAGATGCCTGCGATAATAAGGCACAGGTAAAAAACACATTCAACTAAGATCTCAAATTAAGAAAACTGGACTGTACTACACTGAAATACAAACCACAAATTAGTCAAAACTATCAACCATGACTTTACCGTGATCAACTAGAACACAAAACTCTTGACTGAACCTTGACAGAATCATTACACATATCATACCTTAACCTCTTGTGCAGACATACCCCCAACAGATGGAACGGCCATTGCATATTGGGATATTGTGGCTGTGGACAGGAGAGCTCGTTGCTTATCTTGGTGGCCTTTGCTTTTTATATGGCGCACTACATCTGTCACACCCTGGTGGCAACATGAGTTTTCAATACGGCAGACTGCACACCAGTAGTGCGTGTTGAGGCTCCCTCTGGTAATAAATGGCCATGAAGAGGTCCACTCATTTTTGAAAATGGATCTATATGTTGCTGCTCCAGCCAGAGCACGACTCTTCTGGCCCTGCTGTTGGATTGGGGAGGTCTCTTCTGTCTGTCCCTCTGTGTCTTCATCCATCTGCCCTGTTGGTTGTTCTATTTGTCCTGTCTGTTGCTCCTCTGCTTGTTTGTCAGTCTGTCCTGTCTCCTGCTCTCTCTGTCCTTTGTGTTGCTCCTCTGTCTGTTGTCCTGTTGTTTCTATCAATCGTTCTGGCTGTTCTGTCAGTGTGTTTGTCTGTCTTTTCTCACTTGGCTGGTTCTTTAAATAAAATAAAAGGTTTCACTTTTGTCCTGGCAAAGGTCTCTTACGGGACATCTTTGAAACCTTAAACAATTCAAATGGTCATGTTGGTTTAATAACTCTACACTCAGTTACAAAAACATACCTACTTCTATTGCACACATTTCCTGTATTTATGTTAAATTCTTTGGAATACATCTTACCTGTTCGAAATCAGCTGAGTTTACATTCACCACACTAAATCATGTTCACACGCACAAACAAATAATTTCTTTCAAGATTTAAAGTTTAAGAGAGTGAGTACTCAATTGGACGACATTTCATTGTTACATACCTAGTCTCAGCTCAGCTTCTTATCAGACTTCTTGAGGTAGTGACCGTTTCTTTTCCTGTTGACTTTCGCGGCAATGGTATCTCTTCTTCTGTCGCTAACTTCGGGGTGCAGTGCATATGGTTCAGTGGCGCTCATCAGCGCCATCTACCGTCGAGGAGTTTGAAAAAAGGAACAAACGAGTCTCAGCCGATTTTCTTTGCGTGAGAAATTGGATGTGTGGCATGAGTGCGTGTGAAAACAGGCAAAAACGTGTGTCACACGGCGAAAGCGTGAGAGTTGGCAGCTCTGCTAGTTGGCTAAATAGCTAACTTTAGCTGGCTGGCTAGCTTGCTGGCTAAGATAACTCTATATAGCTAACATTCTTTGATAACTCGTTAGATGGTGTTATGTATTTCCAAAACGTTGGTTTACTTTAATGTAGCTGTAAGCTAGGTGTTGATAGCAACTGTCTGACTCATGCACTGCTAACGTAACATTAGCAGGCTGGTAGGGATAACGTTAGCAGGCTAGTAGGGCTAACATTAGCAGGCTAGTTGGCTATGTTGGCTAACTCAGAGTTGATTTGTAACAATACATTCATAAAGTATTTGCTTGTAAGTTGGCTGAAACTTACATTGAAACCAATATGGTTTAATTTGAAGTTATATATTTGAAGTTATTTCTGTTGGAGTTTACATTATAGGGAATAGGCTGGCTTGCCGGGTCCTCCATATTACATCATACCCCGGAAAAACATTTACCGACATGACTGATCGTTTTTATATAATAACTCGAAAAAATTGAAAGTTAGGTGTAATTTTGCATTGAACTTTTGATGCGCATACTAATGCAAATCCATATGTTACATGTGGCTACGTTTATGCTACCTCCCTTTAATGTGTAAACATTTCGTTCAGAGACCTTTTTCAAGACAGTAACACATTCTTAGTTATTTATTTATTTGCTTATTGGTCAGTGACCTGTGCGTAACTTGAACTGTATGTGTCCCCCTACGGACTTGTGAGTAAACTATCCAACTAATACGCATCTGGAGATTTAATTTGCATACGGCTGACTGAATAAACTGTACCTAATTTGTTTTCCAAGAATACTTGGAATAGCTTGGATTTATTTTTATTATTTTCTTTGTTCAATTCTCAACTATTCTCTCTGACGATCTCAGTCTTTTCCCCCGTTGTTTCCTGTATTTCATTTTCTCTCCTCTCCTCTCTCAGTACCAGGGGGTCATAGCAGGTTGATTATGATAGACCTGGCTGACAGTATAAACGGGTCCAGTAGAACCAGTGACAGCAGAATTGGATGTCCTGAGTCAGAGCTGGGCAGTGTTATCCTGGCCCTACTCAACAATGGAAACAAAAACATCCCCAACAGGTTAGATACTGGAGACTATAACATTGATTGTATTACATTGCAATGAAACAGGAAATGATTGATTCATGCAGTAGATAATGAAATTGTATGTATAATACTGGTATATACTATAATTGTATTCTTTATGTATAATGTATGATGGTGATGAGGATGTTGGTGATGATGATGGTAATGACGATGATGGTTTTATTTTGTGCTCACCACAGGGACAGTAAAGTGACCATGCTGCTACAGGAGTCTCTGGGTAATATTAACTGTCGTACGACCGTGCTGGCCCATGTGACTGACTCACCAGAACACTGCTCAGAGACACTGTCCACTGTCCAGATCGCCTCACTCATTCGTAGGACACAGAAGAAGGCAAAAGTATGTAAATGACTGAATTAGAGATTTCTTACCATGGTGCCAAGAATGGTGCCAAAAGTATTATTCAATTAACCTTGGGTGGCCTAACTCTTAGTAGACAATTTAACAGTTTAGCAGAACATTTTTCTGAGGAGGCAAAATGTTATCACTATGACAGATTTTCTCTCCCCCACCAATCATCTACTGAATTATAGATTTCTTACCATAAAATTATTTGGTGAAAATGGTGCCCTGAAGTATTATTTAATGAACCTTGGGTGTTCTAAAGCTTAGTAGCAATTTTGCCCATTTTATTTTTGAATGGGCAAAAAGGAATCACTAACTTTACTCCCCCCCCTCTCTCTCTCTCTCTCGCTCGCTCTCTCTCTGTCCGTCCCTCTCCCTCTCCCTCTCTCTCTCTCAATTCAATTTCAATTTAAGGGGCTTTATTGGCATGGGCAACATATGTTTACATTGCCAAAGCAAGTGAAATAGATAATAAACAAAAGTGAAATAGAAAATAAAAAATTAACACTCTCTCTCTCTCTCTCTCTCTCTCTCTCTCTCTCTCTCTCTCTCTCTCTCTCTCTCTCGCTCTCTCTCTCTCTCTCTCTCTCTCTCTCTCTCTCTCTCTCTCTCTCTCTCTCTCTCTCTCTCTCTCTCTCTCTCTCTCCCCCTCCCCCAGCATTCAATGACCTGCTCTCCCAGTGGTAGAAGCCTGAGTAGAGAGAGGAGTGGAGGGAGTCGTCTCTTCTCTCTCAGAGCGTTCCACTCCACCAGTGCTGTAGACTCTGACCTCAGTGACCTGCTAGATGACCACTCCACCAGTGTTGTAGACTCTGACCTCAGTGACCTGCCCCAGCTCAGGCTCAGTGGTGACCTGCTAGATGACCAGTCCTGTGACACGGTCATTCACATCAACCCCGATGGCTCTGTCCAGCAGCCTGGTACGGAGCTGTACCAGCAGGGTCAGGGCCAGCCGGAGTTTACCCCCATCATCCCCTCTCTACACCAGCATAAGGCTGAAGAGGAATCAGAGGCTGAGCTTTCTGCTCTACAGCAAGAGCTACTGCTGCACCTTCTAAACATCATGCCCAGACCGGAAGGAGAAAGGAAGGGGAGTGAGAGCATAATCCAAGAACAACTTGTGGGCCAGTGTGTGAGGGACTTCAGTGTTAATTGTGACACATTCGCCGAGCTGCAGGAGAGACTCGGGTGCATTGATGGGAGCAAGACAGTTACTAAATCATCCTTAAAAGAACCTTCTGCCACAACTGAGTCCCCTCCAGTCCCCCAAGATTGCTCAGGCCTACCTCAGACTGGGGAGAATACCTCTTTCTTTAAACCACTGAATATGGATTTGAAGTGTAGTGAGTTTTCCATTGTGGCTGAGAAAGAGAGCTTGGTGACAGATGGCAGTCTTCCGGTCGACAGTTTTCAGAGAGAGGACTCTGGTCTGTATGACTGTGAGGAGGGCAGTGCAGCCAGCTCCAACGAGGACCAACCATACCCCTGTGGCTCTATCAGTTTACATCCAGCCTGCCAGAGCCTGAGCCAGGGCAACCCCCCTGAGTACAGCTATCTACCACAGCACCATGAAATCTACTCTCAGATCAGCCCTGTGCCAAGCTCACATCCTCCTCTTCCTCTGTTTCCTCTTCCCCTGTCTCTGGAGCCAGCTGGATACCCAGGGAGGAATGACTGGCTGCAACCCAAGACCAGGACCTCTCCAACAGGCAAGAGCTCCCCGATATCCCCCTCTCGCGCTCCATCCCTCTTCTCCCCCTCCTCCTCCACCACCTCCTCCTTGGCTACCAGTGTTCTCCTAGGAGAGATGATCCTTCCCCAGCTTCCCCAGCTGTCCACCACAGAGTTAGACCTAAAGGATATGACGGCAACCATCACGGTGACGGTCCAGCAGCCGTTGGGCCAGATGGGTCAGGATGAGCTAGTGTTAACCATGGCAGAGGAGGTGACCATCAGTGGGGCTCTGGAGAGTAGAGGCCGGGCGAGGAACATCATCAAGATCAGGGATGCCCACTCCTCCTCTGGCCAAGCTTCTTCAGGGTCTGTACTGGGTTCTCTTCCCATCAGGATTATCTGTAACTTCAGTGAAGATCCAGCTTCTACTACAGACTCCACTATCAAGGCCATGGACCATGCTAATACCACTAAGACCATGGCTGTGGAAGTCAACACCAAACCCAAGGCCATGTCTTCTCTTTACAGGGTGGAGAACAGATTCTTGCCCTCCTTTATAAACCCCTCGCTCGCTGATGTTAGTAGGGGTAGTGATGTGGAGGGGTCTCATCCCAGAGAGGTTTCTAACACTCTCTCCATGCGAGTGGATGCTTCAGCTGAACCTGAGAAGAAAGATAATCTAAAAGGAAATGAAAGGAATCATGAGAGGAAGACCAACGAGAGCGTGTTGATGTCTTTCCTGGGTCAAACTAGTGATACAGCATCATGTGACACACATGCCTGGAAGGAGGCCGGTTGCTATGAGATGATGTCATCAGAGAATAGGGCCAGTGGGAGGGGTGGTAACCAAGCAGACAGGAGCTATCCCAGACGAAGGGACGTTACCACCTGTTCCCTCACCTGTCATGACAGAGTCCTACCTGTTCCCTCTTCCCTAATTACTCCAAAGCTGTCTGGGGACTGTAATGAAAGCAGCAGGAATACACCAGAGAACTGTATCCCTGGTTACCCTGCAGTTACCCAACACAGAACAGCCAGTCTACCAAGAGGCTGGTATAATATCAACAAGCAGGAGAGCTACGGTCTGATGAGAGAGGAGTATACATATAAGGAACCAGACGTTACATCATCCACCCCTGGTAGTCCCAGGGTGACCCTGGAGAGGAGGCCGTCCTCAGCCAGGCAGGGGATCTTCTCCTGGGCCAGGGAGAGCGTCCCTCTCCCCTTCTCACCAGCTCGGAAGTACAGCCTGGCGCAGCATACTCAGAGACAGAGAACTAGTAACAGTCCTCTCAGCACAGCCAGTAGTTCGCCTTTGGAGCCCATGCCATCCACTCTGAGTGTTAGACATGATAGCGGGAAGCTGAAATCCTCCGTAGAGGAAAGCAATAGGCTGTTCAGTGCTAAACTAGAGCAGTTGGCTAGCAGGACCAACTCTTTAGGTAGAATACCGCTGGCGCGCCACACTCTGGACCGAGGCAGTAGCCTGTCCTCTGTGAGCTCCAAGGGGTCCAAGAGTTGTGAATGGGAGTCCAGCCACCCCACCCTACCCTGGGCCAGCAGGAGCCCCAGGAGGGCCCCTAGGTCCATTCCCTTGACAGATAACAACACCCCCAACACAGCCCATTCTCCCAAAACCAGCAGGTCAACCTTTATAACTGACCCCAACACAGCCCTCCAGTCTCCAAGATCCAGCCGGTCTAAGCTCTCTGCAGTGGGGAAACTGATGACGGCCAGCTCTAAGGCCCGCCGGATATCCATCCCCAGTACCAAGAACCTCCGCTTTTCTCTCAAGGAGGTCTGTCAGTCCATCAACAGGAATACCAGTCTGTCCCCTGATGGGAAGAGTCCTGAGCAAAGTCCACCCTGGTCCACTCAGTCTCTAAGCCGTAACCAGACCCCCTCGCCTCAGACCCCACCACCGCGCCTCGCACCAAAGTCCCCCATCCGGGTCATCAATGGGCGCATCTTAGAGCTGCTCCAGATCGGCAGAGAGCCCTCCGCCTCTGGCGGGGCCTCCGGAGGACTAGATCTAGACAAGATGGCGGCAGCGGCTGGAGTTACCTGTAGATCCATGGGAGAGGCTCACCCTGTTCACCCTGTACCCTCGCCCTATGCCAGGATGACCGCCCCTCGCAGGCCCAACCACCTCAGCGGGCACGCCAGTGATGTCACTAGCGTGTTGAGCGGGGAGCTGCCCCCAGCCATGGGGAAGACTGCGTTATTGAACAATAGGAACAGCGTGGTGAGCAGTGGCTATGAGAGCATGGTAAGGGACAGCGAGGCCACAGGTAGCAGCACATCCAACAGAGACTGTTCTATTATCAGTGTGGCCCATAGTGGGAGGAACCCCAAGAGGAGGAGTAGCAACGGTAAGATCTGATCTGGGTAATTCCTTAGTTGAATGCACACCGAGTGAGCAAAGCTGGACAAAACTGGTTGAAATGACGTGATAATTATGTAATTTCAACCAGTTTCGCCCACTGATCATATTGTAAGTCGCTGTAGATACAAGTGCCTGATTCATGTTTTCCATTTTCCGCTTAGCGTTTTGTGCTGTGTTAAAATATCAGGTGTGAGCTGTAGACAGGTGCAGATGTAGTAAACAAGGTCCTCTGTGTTAACAACATTAAAAACACTCATGTGCAAAAAAGTGACGAAAAGATATGTGTGCAACTTGCGTTTTCAGAGTTGTAATGCCTGTGACAGAAAAATTAGCGTTTTATGTCATTCATTGCTGTTACACAGATTACTATTACTATTTCCTGTCCTTTTTTTTTGCCATCATTTTAAATGAGCCCAATGAGAAAAGTGCTTGAATTGCCAAGTGAAAGTATTACTCTTAGATATTAGTGGGGCTTATTGGGGTATTTGTCTCCTGCCTCCTCTGGCTCTAAAGTACTCTACTCTACTGTACTCTACACTACTCTACTCTACTCTACTCTACTCTACTCTACTCTACACTACTGTACTCTACTCTACTCTACACTACACTACACTACTCTACACTACTCTACACTACACCACTACTCTACTCTACTCTACTCTACACTACTCTACTCTACTCTACACTACACTACTCTACTCTACTCTACTCTACTCTACTCTACTCTACTCTACTCTACTCTACTCTACATGACTCTACTCTACTCTACTCTACTCTACTGTACTCTACACTACTCTACTCTACTCAAGTCTACTCGACTCTACTGTACAGATATAGGATCTTAATTTGATCACTTGTTGCTGAGAAGTTTCCTGCACCGCAGGAAATGCAGATGAGCTTCGTGATTTACATACTGTAAATTCACTGAAAACCTGCACTTATATTAACTGTATTCCACTTTTCATGTAGCCTCATTTTGACCAGCTAATAGCCTAACCACTGACAAGCAACAATATGGACTAAACATTCAAATCCTGTTGCTGCAGGATTATTTTGCTGCGACAATACAGGTCCAATTAAGATCCTACATCTGTACTCCATTCTATTCCATTCTACCTGACCTGCAGGCTCCCACCCGCGGCGTCTGTCCCATGACACGTCCCTGTCTCTGAGGAGGTCAGCCAGTGGCCCCAGGTCTCGCTGGGTAGAGAGTGGCATCCCAGAGGCCTACGAGATCAAGGTTTATGAGATAGACGACGTGGAGAGGCTGCAGAGGAGAGGAGGAGCAGGAAAACAGGTGAGGGGACGAGATGTCAGTGTTGGTGTTTTAGGATAGGCTTGGATACATGTTTAGTTTATCAGGGGAAATCAGGGATTTTCTTGAGTTTGTGTACAAACACATAAATAGCCAAACACAACTCAAGCACAATGGCAAACGTACAATGCATTAAATGATACTACCATGTACAGTCGTGGTCAAAAGTTTTGAGAATGACACAAATACTAATTTTCACAAAGTCTGCTGCCTCAGTTTTGATGATGGCAATTTGCATATACCAGAATGTCATGAAGAGTGATCAGATGAATTGCAAGTAATTGCAAAGTCCCTCTTTGCCATGAAAATGAACTTAATCCCAAAAAAACATTTCCACTGCATTTCAGCCCTGCCACAAAAGGACCAGCTGCCATCATGTCAGTGATTCTCTCGTTAACACAGGTGAGAGTGTTGACGAGGACAAGGCTGGAGATCACTCTGTCATGCTGATTGAGTTAGAATAACAGACTGGAAGCTTTAAAAGGAGGGTGGTGCTTGAAATCATTGTTCTTCCTCTGTTAACCATGGTTACCTGCAAGGAAACACGTGCCGTCATCATTGCTTTGCACAAAAAGGGCTTCACAGGCAAAGATATTGCTGCTAGTAAGATTGCACCTAAATCAACCATTTATCGGATCATCAAGAACTTAAAGGAGAGAGGTTCAATTGTTGTGAAGAAGGCGTCAGGGCGCCCAAGAAAGTCCAGCCAGGACCGTCTCCTAAAGTTGATTCAGCTGCGGGATCGGGGCACCACCAGTGCAGAGCTTGCTCAGGAATGGCAGCAGGTAGGTGTGAGTGCCTTTGCTCGCACAGTGAGGCAAAGACTTTTGGAGGATGGCCTGGTGTCAAGAAGGGCAGCAAAGAAGCCACTTCTCTCCAGGAAAAACATCAGGGACAGACTGATATTCTGCAAAAGGTACAGGGATTGGACTGCTGAGGACAGGGTTAAAGTCATTTTCTCTGATGAATCCCCTTTCCGATTGTTTGGGGCATCCGGAAAAAAGCTTGTCCGGAGAAGACAAGGTGAGCGCTACCATCAGTCCTGTGTCATGCCAACAGTAAAGCATCCTGAGACCCTTCATGTGTGGGGTTGCTTCTCAGCCAAGGGAGTGGGCTCACTCACAATTTTGCCTAAGAACACAGCCATGAATAAAGAATGGTACCAACACATCCTCCGAGAGCAACTTCTCCCAACCATCCAAGAACAGTTTGGTGATGACCAATGCCTTTTCCAGCATGATGGAGCACCTTACCATAAGGCAAAAGTGATAACTAAGTGGCTCGGGAACAAAACATTGACATTTTGGGTCCATGGCCAGGAAACTCCCCAGACCTTAATCCCATTGAGAACTTGTGGTCGATCCTCAAGAGGCGGGTGGACAAACAAAAACCCACAAATTCTGACAAACTCCAAGCATTGATTATGCAAGAATGGGCTGCCATCAGTAAGGATGTGGCCCAGAAGTTAATTGACAGCATGCCAGGGCGGATTGCAGAGGTCTTGAAAAAGAAGGGTCAACACTGCAAATATTGACTCTTTGCATAAACTTAATGTAATTGTCAATAAAAGCCTTTGACACTTATGGAATGCTTGTAATTATACTTCAGTATACCATAGTAACATCTGACAAAAATATCTCATAACACTGAAGCAGCGAACTTTGTGAAGACCAATACTTGTGTCATTCTCAAAACTTTTGACCACGACTGTAGACAGCAGATTGACCATGCAGCGCCTTTAAGCAAGCAGCGCGACGTCCTTTAAACCCACACACTTCTAATTCTGAAAAGTGAAACCATACCTGTGAGAGGGGTTGCCCTGGTAGTCCTTGTAGGTTTTTATACAGTACCCAAAACCCATCTGAGTTAATTTGACTATTGGAAAAATAGCTAATGTGTTGAATTAAATGAAGCCCATAATCTTCATTTTCAAGGCGATGATCACTTTTCTTCCACTTTTTGACCATGATAGTGGCTTGCGAAAGTATTCACCCCCCTTGGCATTTTTCCTATTTTGTTGCCTTACAACCTGGAATTAAAATTGATTTTTTGGGGGTTTGTATCATTTGATTTACACAACATGCCTAACACTTTGAAGATGCAAAATATGTTTTATTGTGAAACAAACAAGAAATAAGACAACAAAACAGAAAACTGGAGCGTGCATAACTATTCACCCCCTCCCAAAGTCAATACTTTGTAGAGCCACCTTTTGCAGCAATTACAGCTGCATGTCTCTTGGGGTATGTCTCTATAAGCTTGGCACATCTAGCCACTGAGATTTTTTCCCATTCTTCAAGGCAAAACTGCTCCAGCTCCCTTCAAGTTGGATGGGTTCCGCTGGTGTACAGCGATTTTTAAGTCATACCACAGATTCTCAATTGGATTGAGGTCTGGGCTTTGACTAGGCCATTCCAAGACATTTTAAATGTTTCCCCTTAAACCACTCGAGTGTTGCTTTAGCAGTATGCTTAGGGTCATTGTTCAGCTGGAAGGTGAACCTCCGTCCCAGTCTCAAATTTCTGGAAGACTGAAACAGGATTCCCTCAAGAATTTCCCTGTAGTTAGCGTCATCCATCATTCCTTCAATTCTGACCAGTTTCCCAGTCCCTGCCGATGAAAAACATCCCCACAGCATGATGCTGCCACCACCATGCTTCACTGTGGGGATGGTGTTCTCAGGGTGATGAGAGGTGTTTTGTTTGCGCCAGACATAGCGTTTTCCTTGATGGCCAAAAAGCTCAATTTTAGTCTCATCTGACCAGAGTACCTTCTTCCATATGTTTGGGGAGTCTCCCACATGCCTTTTGGCGAACACCAAACGTGTTTGCTTATTTTTTTCTTTAAGCAATGGCTTTTTTCTGGCCACTCTTCCGTAAAGCCCAGCTCTGTGGAGTGTACGGCTTAAAGTGGTCCTATGGACAGATACTCCAATCTCCACTGTGGAGCGTTGCAGCTCCTTCAGGGTTATCTTTGGTCTCTTTATTGCCTCTCTGATTAATGCCCTCCTTGCCTGGTCTGTGAGTTTTGGTGGGCGGCCCTCTCTTGGCAGGTTTGTTGTGGTGCCATATTCTTTCCATTTTTTTATAATGGATTTAATGGTGCTCCGTGGGATGTTCAAAGTTTCTGATATTTTTTTATGTTGCAGTCTGGGGCCTTTCAGAACAGGTGTATATACACTGAGATCATGTGACAGATCATGTGACACTTAGATTGCACACAGGTGGACTTTATTTAACTAATTATGTGACTTCTGAAGGTAATTGGTTGCACCAGATCTTATTTAGGGGCTTTATAGCAAAGGGGGTGAATACATATGCACGCACCACTTTTCCTTTATTTATTTTTTAGAAATGTAGAAATAAGTTATTTTTTTATTTTCACTTCACCAATTTGGACTATTTTGTGTATGTCCATTACATGAACTCCAAATAAAAATAAATTTAAATTACAGGTTGTAATGCAACAAAATAGGAAAAACGCCAAGTGGGATGAATACTTTTGCAAGGCACTGTACATAATCTCCATGTGCACTACATTCAGTGCATTCAGAAAGTATTCACACCCCTTGACAGTGACAAACATAGAACCGATATACACATAACATAAAATAATGAGATCAGTTACAATCTTAAAATCAATAAAAGGAGCATTGCAGCAATAACTAGACATTATTTCATTTCACGTGCAGATTCAGAAAGTTTATGGCCTGTGGGATAAAATAGTTCTTGTATCTGTTGCTATTGAGTTTGGGAAGTCTAAAACGACGACCTGAGGGGAGAAGCGCAAAATGGTCAAGGAGGGGGTGATCAGGACAGTCTAGGATACTGTTAGCTCTCCTCACCACTTGCTTTCTGAATGTCACTAAGAGCTGTGCCTGTTGCACCCCGATGACCTTGCTGGCCACCTTAACCACCCTGTCCAACCTATTTTTGTTGCAAACATTAAGATGGCCAAACCAGGCCACCATTGAGAACATCAATATGTAGTCAATAAAACTCCTGTAAAACAGTGTTATCATTTTCTTGATGACATTAAAATAGTTAATATTTCTCAGGAAAAAAAAGCTGCTGCTGTCCATTTTTACAGATGGCATCTGTGTTCTCCTCAAACTCATAGCTGTAATCACTGCCAAAGGTGCTGCTACAAAGTATTGACTCAGGGGTGTGAATACATATGTAAATTAGATATTTCTGTATTTCATTTTCAATAAATTAGCAAAAATGTCAAAACAAATGTTTTCACTTTGTCATTATGGGGTATTGTGTGTAGATGGGTGAGAAAACAAATCAATTTAATCAACTTTGAATTCAAGCTGTAACACAACAAATTGTGGAATAAGTCAAGGGGTATGAATACTTTCTGAAGGCACTGTACATACTGTGCATAAATACATTCATAAATACATAGAATTATTTACTATTTGCAGTCAGAAGATTCCCTGTACAGTACCAGTCAAAAGTTTGGACACAGCTACTCATTCAAGGGTTTTTCTTTATATTTACTATTTTCTACATTGTATAATAATAGTGAAGACATCAAAACTGTGGAATCATGTAGTAACCAAAAAAGTGTTAAACAAATCATAATATATTTTATATTTGAGATTCTTCAAATAGCCACCCTTTGCCTTGATGACAGCTTTGCACACTCTTGGCATTCTCTCAACCAGCTTCACCTGGAATGCTTTTCCAACAGTCTTGAAGGAGTTCCCACATATGCTGAGCACTTGTTGGCTGCTTTTCCTTTACTCTGCCATCTGACTCATCCCAAACCTCAATTTGGTTGCGGTCGGGGGATTGTGGAGGCCAGGTCATCTGATGCAGCACTCCATCACTCTCCTTCTTGCTCAAATAGCCCTTACATAGCCTGTAGGTGTGTTGGGTCATTGTCCTGTAGAAAAACAAATGATATTCCCACTAAGCCCAACCAGATGGGACGGCGTATTGCTGCAGAATGCTGTGGTAGAGATGCTGGTTAAGTGTGCCTTGATTTCTAAATAAATTACAGACAGTGTCACCAGCAAAGCACCCCCACACCATAACACCTCCTCCTCCATGCTTAATGGTGGGAAATACACATGCAGAGATCATCCGTTCATCCACATGCGTCTCACAAAGACACGGCGGTTGGAACCAAAAATGTCCAATTTGGACTCCAGACCAAATGTCACATTTCCACCGGTATAATGTCCATTGCTCGTGTTTCTTGGCCCAAACAAGTCTCTTCTTCTTATTGGTGTCCTTTAGTAGTGGTTTCTTTGCAGCAATTCGACCATGAAGGCCTGATTCACACAGTCTCCTCTGAACAGTTGATGTTGAGATGTGTCTGTTACTTGAACTCTGTGAAGCATTTATTTGGGCTACAATTTCTGAGGTAACTCTAATGAACTTATCCTCTGCAGCAGAGGTAACTCTGGGTCTTCCATTCCTGTGGCGGTCCTCATGAGAGCCAGTTTCAGCATAGCGCTTGATGGTTTTTGTGGCTACACTTGAAGAAACTTTCAAAGTTCTTGAAATGTTCTGTATTGACTGACCTTAATGTCTTAAAGTAATGATGGACTGTTGTTTCTCTTTGCTTATTTGAGCTGTTCTTGCCATAATATGGACTTGATCTTTTACCAAATAGGGCTATCTTCTGTATACCCCCCTACATTGTCACAACACAACTGATTGGCTCAAACACATTAAGAAGGAAAGAAAGTCCACAAATTAATTTTTAAGAAGGCACACCTGTTAATTGAAAAGCATTCCAGGTTACTACCTCATGAAACTGGTTGAGAGAATGACAAGAGTGTGCAAAGCTGTCATCAAGGCAAAGGGTGGCTATTTGAAGAATCTCAAATCTGTTTAACACTTTTTTTGGTTACTACATGATTCCATATGTGTTCTTTCATAGTTTTGATGACTTCAGTCATATTCTACAATGCAAAAAATAGTAAAAATAAAGAATAACCCTTGAATGAGTAGGTGTGTACAAACTGTTGACTGGTAGTGTATATAGTGAAAAATGTTGACCAGGGCCCATAGCGCTCTGTTCAAAAGTAGTGCACTATGTATTAGGAATAGGGTGCCATTTGGGACACATCCAGAATACTTAGGTTTGTTGTTGTGAGGAAACTCTTCTCTGAGTTGAATCTGATATTTAGCTGAAGCTCACCTTGCCCTTAAATGGCTGTGTTGCTGTTAACAGGGGATAGCTTGCTTCAGTGCCAAACTCAAGTTCCTAGAGCACCGTCAGCAGAGGGTGGAGGCGGTGAGAGCCAAGTACAACAGCCTGAAGACAGAGCTGGAGCTGGCCAAACAGAACCTTAGGCTGGAGCCAGGGAAATGGAACCAGGAGTGTGGGTGTTTTCTATAGATTCATCAGACATTAATTAACTAGTCTGTTTATTTCTCTTAGCAACTGGACTTACACTACAAGGTGTGTGAACATTCATCTTTTCATTAATGACCAAAGCAATAGCAACCGTACAAAACCGTATTTTCAGCAACCGTTGTATTGACTCTTGGTATTGCCATAGAATCAGTCTAATAGATAGAATATTCCATCCTACTGTGGCCCTTAAACCTCTTCTTCTCTCCTGTGCTTGTCTGGTGTGTTTGTAAGGGTATGTTATGTTATGTGGCTAATATTGATCCTCAGAGGCCTCCGTAGTTCGTGTTATTTTGAGATGATGGCTAGCTAAATTAACCTCATGTTGTGTTTCTGTAGTTGACCTGTGGCAGACGTTTGAGGTGGACTCTCTGGAGCACCTGGAAGCCTTGGAGGTGGTTACGGCAAGGCTGGAGAGCAGGGTCAACCTCTGTAAGGCCAACGTCATGATGGTCACATGCTTCGACGTTGCCACCAAGCGCCGGCAAGCGAGGAGATGTCGTCGGATGGAACAGCAGCAAGGATTCATGGGAATTTAGAGTTCATTTTGTGTAATTTGGTTCCCATTCTTAATAGATGAGAGAGAGAACATGATGGAATAGCACCGTCATAGAAAAGTTTTGACAATCTTTTTTTGGTGCTTATCTGAATTTCACTTGAAAACATGCACAGGTTCTTGCATTTCAATTCCCTAACAGTAGTGAGAAGTATCACTCAGTGTGGACTTCTCATGAAGAAGAGGGAGGGAAATCAACATCTTGGAAGTCCACAGAGCACTCACTCTCAATGATGTATGTTCTGACCCATACAGATCAATATTCATTGTTTTGTTGATAGATCAGCTCAAGACACTCCAACAGACACTCCAACTAATCACAATGACTCACTGATACATATACCACAGCTTCACCTGGATGAAACACACACACCAGAGGAGGCTGGTGGGAGGCGCTATAGGAGGACAGGCTCATTGTAATGGCTGGAATGGAATCAATGGAATGGTACCAAATCCATCAAACACATGGAAGCAACATGTTAGACTCCATTCCATTGAATCCAATCCAGCCATTACACTGAGCCTGTCCTCCTATAGCTCCCCCCACCAGCCTCCTCCGACACACACTCCATGATGTTTGTTTTATGAATACTATTTACAGTATCAGCATGTTGTATGTCAACTCTTTATAAGCTACAGGTCTTCATATTTCTCTGCATTTTATTATGGTATTGCTATGTACTGTATCCTACAACTTTCATGCCAAAGTTTAAACTGTTCTAAGGTGGTTGTGTACCCCTTTGTGCTTTGTTCATTCAGCTGAGTCTAATGGCTTTGTGTGAGAGCTGGAAGCTTGGCACGGCATGCTGATGTGTTATTAATGCCAACACAGACTACTGTTTTAAACGCTAGTTGGAGAAGGGTGACAAAACACTACCACAGTAAACAAGAGTAGCAGTAGGCAGGTTTCCATTGACCCAGGTTTATTTGACAAAAGCAATGTTGCAACAAAAAAACATTGCAACATGTGTAGGGTAACGTGTGGTGTGTAGGGTAACGTGGGATGTGTAGGGTGACGTGGCTGGTTACCCCACGTTACCCTACGTTACCCTAAGAACAATGTCCAATTGCTGGCACAAAAAAAGCAGAGTTTGGTAAAAAAAAAAAATAGTTATGTGGATGATGGTAATGCTTAGGCAAATAAACTATGAAGGGAAATAAGTGGCTAGAGTTTACACTTTTCTTTTATGAAATGTTGTTCTTAGAAAAGGGGCGTTTTTCCCAAATTCGGAGTAGTTACCCCACGTTACCCTAACGGAAACGGCAGATAAAGGATACATTTTCTAAAGATTGACCACGCTTCCATCAACAGTTCTTATGTGAGTAAAGTCACACCATATAAAAAAAATCACGACAGCTGTGATGGAAACAGAAAGTATCTGTACAATTTTATAAATGCTGACAGACAATTTGTTCGTTCGACATGGTGGGATCTTTTTGTGTCGGCGGTAAAATTAATTAGGCGAGAAATGGCGGTTTTAATCATGGTTATTATGTCAATGTATAATAAGGCGTTTCGCCTTTATGTGCAAATATTGATATAATAACCATCATATCCAAGTAAACTTGTCACGCGATGATATGGTGTGTCGTCCTCCAACTACGACGGGAAACCATGCAGTGTATTGGGCTACAGATTAAATAGATTATGATGAACTTCACAGGGTGGTGAAAATGCAAGCTGGTGATGAGTTTGATGCTCCTTTACAGTAAATATCGAGGGTCTTATTCTGGTGACATGATGATCATTGATTGGCTGCCGTTTGACAAATTAAAATAATCTCACTCTTTTGTCCATAATAATGTCATCATGTTTGTAGGCTATACCTGCACTATATCTGCGAGTTGTTGGCTAGAGCGCACGTGCCAATACCAGAGTGGGCACATTCACTAAATCAGTGGTCCCCAAACATCATAAAAAGAAACTCAGTCTTACTCTTGAAAGTTGCAATTTCGAAGTTGGGTAGTGAATCATCAGTTTTTCCCCTTGTCATGTCAGTCATTGCATACTATACCTTAGAGAGCTATTTATAACTTGTCAGAAATGTCCAGATCAACTAGCCCATGTCAGCTAACGTTTTTTAGCTAGGTATTATAGCCCATAGATTTTGTTGTAATGTTTGAGTCACTCAAATATCACATGAATACACATTAGACATGGAAAAATGTATACAATTGAATGATAATGAGCTTTAAAACAGCAAAAGTTTGGGAACCCGTGCGCAATATAACACAACATTTTTTTGTGACAAAACCATCAGTAGAGTTGAAAATAAGATGGAAAGCCATTTAAGTTTTTATGGGAATTTAACCGCAAAAGTTATTTTGATGTGCACTACGTCATCACGCACAAACTTTTAACAAGTACATTTATTGGAAACATCTCTGGTGGGAATATGCGCATATTTTATTTATGCGAATATTTGAATATTCAATTGGATGGAAAACCTAGCTACTGACAACATTTTTACCCGTTTGACAGTGGTGGATTTTTCTTTTGTTTAACTTTCTTTATTGGGACCAATTTTTATTCGAATAAATGATTATTGCCAAATACTTTTAAAGGTACTAGGGGCACATGATGTCATCACATAACTATAAACTCCACTCCACATTGAATTCTAAATGCCTACTGCTTGCAAAATCTATTTTTTCAACTATAAAAATAATGTTTCTTTGCAGGACAAGGATTGTCCTGACTTTTAAAAATGCCTGAATTGCTTCGGCTTGCTTTTCTGGTTGGCTGGCAAGTTTCACCATCCAATTATTTCAGATCTACAGGAGAGCAAGTTTCACCATGGCACAGCCCGTGGCGATACGTTGGCACATGATAATTATTTCATTCAATCCATGCTGGCTTTCGCAGACTATCTGAGACATGAAACAGATAGGTGGGAGGGCATACAGGCTGTCGTCAATTTATTAATGCACAATTTGCTTTTCAATTAACAGGTGTGCCTTCTTAAAAGTTAATTTGTGGACTTTCTTTCCTTCTTAATGTGTTTGAGCCAATCAGTTGTGTTGTGACAATGTAGGGGGGTATACAGAAGATAGCCCTATTTAGTAAAAGACCAAGTCCATACTATGGCAAGAACAGCTCAAATAAGAAAAGAGAAACAACAGTCCATCATTACTTTAAGACATGAAGATCAGTCAATACGGAAAATGTCAAGAACTTTGAAAGTTCCTTCAAGTGCAGTCGCAAAAAACATCAAGTGCTATGATGAAACGGCTCTCATGAGGACCGCCACAGGAATGGAAGACCCAGAGTTACCTCTGCTGCAGAGATAAGTTAATTAGAGTTACCAGCCTCAGAAATTGCAGCCCAAATAAATGCTTCACAGAGTTCAAGTAACAGACACATCTCAACATCAACTGTTCAGAGGGGACTGTGTGAATCAGGCCTTCATGGTCAAATTCCTGCAAAGAAACCACTACTAAAGGACACCAATAAGAAGAAGAGACCTGCTTGGGCCAAGAAACACGAGCAATGGACATTAGACCAGTGGAAATGGGTCCTTTGGTCTGGAGTCCAAATTGGAGATTTTTGGTTCCAACCGCTATGTCTTTGTGAGACGCGGTGTGGGTGAACGGATGATCTCCGCATGTGTAGTAAAGCATGGTGGAGGAGGTGCTATGGTGTGTGGGTGCTTTGCTGGTGACACTGTCTGGGATTTATTTAGAATTCAAGGCACACTTAACCAGCATGGCTACCACAGCATTCTGCAGCGATATGCCATCCCATCTGGTTTGGGCTTAGTGGGACTATCATTTGTTTTTCAACAGGACAATAACCCAACACACCTCCAGGCTGTGTACGGGCTATTTTACCAAGAAGGGGAGTGATGGAGTGCTGCATCAGATGACCTGGCCTCCACAATCCCCCGACCTCAACCAAATTGAGGTTTAGTATGAGTCGGACGGCAGAGTGAAGGAAAAGCAGCCAACAAGTGCTCAGCATATGTGGGAACTCCTTCAAGACTGTTGGAAAAGCATTCCAGGTGAAGCTGATTGAGAGAATGCCAAGAGTGTGCAAAGCTGTCATCAAGGCAAATGGTGGCTATTTGAAGAATCTCAAATATAAAATATATTTTGATTTGTTTAACACTTTATTGGTTACTACATGATTCCATATGTGTTATTTCATAGTTTTGATGTCTTCACTATTATTCTACAATGTAGAAAATAGTAAAAATAAAGAAAAACCCTTGAATGAGTAGGTGTGTCCAAACTTTTGACTGGTACTGTACATATTACCTCAACTACCTCGTACCCCTGCACATTGACTCTGTACTGGTACTTCTTGTATATAGCCTCGTTATTGTTTTTATTGTGTTACTATTTCCTTTTTTATTTAGGCGTGACGTTTTGATAACCATGTAAATCTCTCTAGGACAAGGTAACTTTTATCAATATATTCGCCTGTATTTAACCCCCCAAAATGAAATGCTAATTAGCTGCTAATGTGGCTATCATAAAGAACTACAAATGCCATGAAGATCTGGACTAGACTGCCAAATCGAGGCAAAGGTAAGAATCTCTGGATTAACTATCTAATGTTAGCGAAATTTAGTAATGAATAAATTGGCAACATTTCTTTCAATTGACAATTCTGTGAACCTTAGAGAGCTATTTATAACTTGTCAGAAATGTCCAGATCAACTAGCCCATGTCAGCTAACGTTTTTTAGCTAGGAATTATAGCCCATAGATTTTGTTGTAATGTTTGAGTCACTCAAATATCACATGAATACACATTAGACATGGAAAAATGTGTACAATTGAATGATAATGAGCTTTAAAACTGCAAAAGTTTGGGAACCCATGCGCAATATAACACAACATTTTTTTGTGACAAAACCATCATTAGAGTTGAAAATAAGATGGAAAGCCATTTAAGTTTTTATGGGAATTTAACCGCAAAAGTTATTTTGATGTGCACTACGTCATCACGCACAAACTTTTAACAAGTACATTTATTAGGTGTGTCCAAACTTTTGACTGGTACTGTACATATTACCTCAACTACCTCGTACCCCTGCACATTGACTCTGTACTGGTACTTCTTGTATATAGCCTCGTTATTGTTTTTATTGTGTTACTATTTCCTTTTTTATTTAGGCGTGACGTTTTGATAACCATGTAAATCTCTCTAGGACAAGTAACTTTTATCAATATATTCGCCTGTATTTAACCCCCCAAAATGAAATGCTAATTAGCTGCTAATGTGGCTATCATAAAGAACTACAAATGCCATGAGGATCTGGACTAGACTGCCGAATCGAGGCAAAGGTAAGAATCTCTGGATTAACTATCTAATGGTAGCGAAATTTAGTAATGAATAAATTGGCAACATTTCTTTCAATTGACAATTCTGTGAACTGTCTTGTGCAAGTTTTACATTGACACAATACCTCTTAGCAAAGTTGTCAGCTAGAGATGATGTGCAGGAGCTTGCAGGGATTTGTAGTTTTGCATGATGTCTATTCTGCTGCTAATTAGCATTTTTTGAATCTGAGAGTAAATAGAGCCGAATATATTGATAAAAGTAATCTTGTCCGAGAAAGATTTACATGGTTATCAAAACGTCACGCCAGGGTAAGCCTACACGAAACACAGACCTTATTTTAAGTGTTTCAAAAATTCCCTATGGGAAAAATGAATGGTGAAAAAATGATTGGAACCATTTCCCTGTTTGACCACTAGGTTTTATGGGTCTTATGAACTCCACTGTGGGGCTCTGTTGTATTTGCAGAATGTGATTAGATTTTTAGCAAAGAGCAATTTCTCAAGCAAGAATTTTGCTAGGACTGTCTGGGAGTGGTCTGAGTGGAGAGAGGAAAACTGAAAACTAGCTTTTATTGGCAGAGAGGTTTGGAACTATCTTTCTTATTGGTCTATTAACTAATTTACCTCAAAATGCCATCCCACCAAAACAGGCTGACATTTCAGGCGTCTTTTCAAACAGCTCTCACACTAAAGGGGTATTTTCATAATTTTCACAATTTCATAGTATTATTCCAACCTCATAGTGTGGAAATAGATATAAAACACAGGAACATCATGTTTTTTGTCTGGACTGGGCCTTTAAGGTACATTATTGTAACATGATGCAACAGCTTAGACGTTAGCTGCTGTCGCCACGGATGTTTTCCAGTGGGAAGGTAATGAGGATGCCCAGTCAGCCGGAGTTCACTTCTAAAGGTAGCCCATTACAAAGTCAGACTCATTACACACACACACACACACACACACACACACACACACACACACACACACACACACACACACACACACACAGAGATCACTCCCTGTTCCAACCTTTCCCTCTTTCTACTCTACTTTACCATCATTTAGGACTAATTTGAAATCCCCATGAAGATAACAATGCAGATGTGAACAGGGCAACTCTTTCTAGAAAGGACAGACATACAGTATGAAGAGGACATTCAAAGGGTTAATATTACTGCGCTGCCTGTGTTGGATGTGTCACCACTTTGTCACTAAGGATTCTCAACGTATCTCTCTACACTGTGACTGTTGGATTTCACACTTTGAATCACCAATTATAGAAATATTGTCTACATATACACAGACAAAGGCTATGCGTCTTTTTAAATAGCAAGTTATCCATGGGATTCTTCAAATACATTTTAACCATTTAATTGTAATGGAAACCTGCACAGAGGGCCCCAAGGACCCCCAGAGGTTTCAAGCACATACATATGGGAGTAGGCTAGAAGAACACCGACTCAGTTACTATACTGATGATACACCAGTGCAATATCAAGTGTCAGATATTGAATAAGCTTTCCATGAGAATGATACCAAAGCTCTCTAATAGATATTTGAAAACATCTGTTTCTAAGAAGGAGATGCCTTTTACACAATACTTTCCCATATTTTGTAAAAACTGGGCAAAAAAACAACACATACCAGCCCATATAAATAACTTCCTCTAGTTACAGTAACTGCAGGCCACTCGGTGAGCGATATAAGAGTTCAGCCAGAAGATGGCCCCATTGCCTCCGTTGGACAATAAAATGATATATTTTGCAACGAGGGGCTGACTGCAACACAGAAAATGCCCGGATTAGATCGTAAACAACCATGGATCCGCAGAGAGCATCACTTTAGTTGACAGATTATAAAAACCACTACCCACGGTGCCACTCACGATTATATCATCAAGTGCATTTACAACATCGCGTTCAGAATAGAAGGGATTGAGCTGTATGACAGTTGATGACCGTTCCGCTGATTGTCACCCACGAATCTTCTGTCTACCTTGGGACATTATTGAATGTGTGAGTATGGATACATCAGCGTGATGGGGTAGCCTACCACAGTTTTTACTGTTGTTACCATTGAGTGCTCTTCGGGTATATTATTATGATGACAGCATGTTAGCATATAAAGCTATAGCCTAAATATTGCATTAATGGCTTTTTGATTCTGCTAATTTTATTAGACTAGCCTGAAATGTTTGCTCTTCATTCCTGAATAATAAACATGAAATTGTTTATTAGGTGAAAATGTATGCTGTAAATTGCGATATTGTAGCGCATGAATCCTGTTTATTGCTGTTACTGTGTAGACTTCTACAGTATTTAAATGAATTGATAAAACATGAAAGGCTTGGACTGATCCCGTTGACTACACTGAGCAGAACACGCACTTGAAAGCAGAACGCATCAGCTTCAGCATCAATTCTTCACTATTTGTTGGCAACATAAAGTAGCCTTCATTTAAATACAATGACCTGTAAACGTCAAAAATAAAAGTAAGCATGACCACAAGAAAGAGATCTGAGTAAGACCAAATAGACCTCTGAAATGACAGCATTTCTGTTACATAAGCACATTACTCTACTCTATATACCAAAAAGGTTCATTCTAATCAATAGTCTGTCAGTTTCAGGTTGGATGATACAAACATGGCTGAGCAACGTGTGCACATTTCCTGTGAGTTTTGTCACCTTAAATCTATGTAAGAGCTATGAGTAATGCTCAGTCATGGTGGTGTGATAATGAGAGGGTTAAGGCCAGCCACTACTACACAGTAGACTGGATTCACAGTCCTCCTTGCCCTAAACTGTTCTAACGGTCACATTCTATGTTCTAGACCCGGTCACATCCACATGACTGTGAACATGGCATTCCATCCATACTCTCTGGTCATTCATTCATGCTTAAATGTAGGCTAGGTCTTATGATGTGGTTGTGTTTATTAAACACTGTGTCAACTGGCTTACCTCCTCTCTCTCTCTCTCTCTGTCTCTGTCTCTGTCTCTGTCTCTGTCTCTGTCTCTGTCTCTGTCTCTGTTTCTCTCTCTCCCTCTCTCTGTTTCTCTCTCTCTCTCTCTGTTTCTCTCTCTCTCTCTCTGTTTCTCTCTCTCTCTGTTTCTCTCTCTCTCTTCTCTCTCTCTCTCTCTCTCTCTCTCTCTCTCTCTCTCTCTCTCTCTCTCTCTCTCTCTCTCTCTCTCTCTCTCTCTTTGTGTGTGTGTGTTTCTACACATTTTGCCATGGGGAAGGAGAGACATTTGTGCAGTTTTAAAGCTAATTCCCTGCGATTCTACACATTTTGCCATTGCTTATGACGTGTTCATATGCAATCTGGTGGGCTCCCGACCTCCAGGTGGCCCCGAACCAAGATTGATTTGTTTATGTTGGGGCCCCCTGGAGTTCAGGCTTGTAACACAAAGAGTTATATCTGAAAAGATTCACTCAGCAAAATAACTATAATTTCAGTACCACTCTTCTTCACATTCTGTTTTCTCACTAACTCAAGGAGGAGTGCAGTCAGTGAGAAAATAATGCATTTTATCCCTGGCTTGGAAAGACACGCTGATACTAACGCTATACAATGTGTTTATATCCAGCAGGGTATTGAAGAGGAGAGGAAGAAGCTCCTTGGTGACCTGCTCGAGGGTTTTTGAGGGAGAGCCCCAAACAACCCCAAACAAGAATACCAGACTATAAAGAGATGGATTAATAGACCTTATCCACTCACTGATGATTCAACCTTCTACTCATACTTTCCCAACTGCAACAACAACAACAACAACAACAAGCTGGTAAACCTAGAACATTGGATCATACATTTTATTAAGCTGACGTAAAGCTTTTGGAGTTTTTCATAGAGTTATCCTAAACCAAATCAATGTCTCTAGCCATAATCCAATCCTAGTAAGTGGTAACCCTAAAGCAGCCTGCCACGGCCCTCCTGTGGGCCCCAACCCATCGCTTGGGAACCACTGAGTTGGAGGAGAATAACAGTGTGGAGGAGAGGATGGGCAGCAAGAGTACCAGCCCCTCCAGAGACTCAGACACTGAGACGACTCAGAGAGAGGAGAGAAACAACACTGGGACTGCCTCAGGTAGCCTACAGCACTCAGCACATAGCACACGTCTCACTGAGACGACTCAGAGAGAGGAGAGAAACAACACTGGGACTGCCTCAGGTAGCCTACAGCACTCAGCACATAGCACACGTCTCCTTCAGTACTGTATGTGTATTATACGGGACATACAGTGCCTTCGGAAAGTATTCACACCCCTTGACTTTTTCCACATTTTGTTACCTTACAGCCTTATTCTAAAATGGATTTAAAAAATAATAATCCTCAGCAATCTACACACAATACCCCATAATAACAAAGCGAAAACAGGTTTTAAGAAATGTTAGCAAATGTATTACAAATAAAAAACAGAAATAACTTATTTACGTAAGTATTCAGACCCTTTGCTGTCAGACTTGAAATTGAGCTCAGGTGAATCCTGTTTCCATTGATCATGCTTGAGATGTTTCTACAACTTGATTGGAGTCCACCTGTGGTAAATTCAATTGATTGCACATGATTTGGAAAGGCACACACCTGTCTATAATAAGTCCCACAGTTGACAGTGCATGTCAGAGCAAAAACCAAGCCATGAGGTCGAAGGAATTGTCCGTAGAGCTCTGAGACAGGATTGTGTCGAGGTACAGATCTGGGGAAGGGTACCAAAAAATGTCTGCAGCATTGAAGGTCCCCAAGAACACAGTGGCCTACATCATTCTTAAATGGAAGAAGTTTGGAACCACCAAGACTCATTATAGAGCTGGCCACCCGGCCAAACTGAACAATCTGGGGAGAAGGGCCTTGGTCAGGTAGGTGACCAAGAACCCGATGGTCACTCTGACAGAACTCTAGAGTTCCTCTGTGGAGATGGGAGAAACTTCCAGAAGGACAACCATCTCTGCAGCACTCCACCAATCACGCCTTTATGGTAGAGTGGCCAGACGGAAGCCACTCCTCAGTTAAAGGCACATGACAGCCCGCTTGGAGTTTGCCAAAAGGCACCTAAAGACTCTGACCATGAGAAACAAGTTTTTCTGGTCTGATGAAACCAAGATTGAACTCTTTGGCCTGAATGCCAAGAGTCACGTCTGGACGAAACCTGGCACCATCCCTACGGTGAAACATGGTGCTGGCAGCATCATGCTGTGGGGATGTTTTTCAGCGGCAGGGACTGGGAGACTAGTCAGGATTGAGGCAAAGATGAACAAAGCAAAGTACAGAGAGATCCTTGATGAAAACCTGCTCCAGAGCGCTCAGGACCTCAGACTGGGGGCAAATGTTCACCTTCCAACAGGACAACCCTAAGCACACAGCCAAGACAACGCAGGACTGGCTTCGGGACAAGTCTCTGAATGTCCTTGAGTGGCCCAGCCAGAGCCCGGACTTGAACCCAATTGAACATCTCTGGAAAGACCTGAAAATAGCTGTGCAGCAACGCTCCCCATCCAACCTGACAGAGCTTGAGAGGATCTGCAGAGAGGAATGGAAGAAACTCCCCAAATACAGGTGTGCCAAGCTTGTAGTGTCATACCCAAGAAGACTTGAGGCTGTAATCGCTGCCAAAGGTGCTTCAACAAAGTACTGAGTAAAGGGTCTGAATACTTATGTAAATGTAATATTTCCGTTTTATTTGTAATAAATGTGCAAAAATGTCTAAAACCTGTTTTTGCATTGTCATTATGGGCTATTGTTTGTAGATTGATGAGGGAAAAAAACAATTTAATCAATTTTAGAATAAGGCTTTTATGTAACAAAATGTGGAAAAAGTCAAGGGGTCTGAATATTTTCTGAATGCACTGTATTTACAGTGTAGTATGTTTGCGTCACCTACCTAAGCTGTTTCAAAAGACAAGCACAAATTTGATCTTTGCGACTAGAGCACTAGATTGTCCTTACTCTTTATGGCTGCCATGATAAGACCTTAAGAGTAGCCTCAAAATGTTACATCTAACAGATTATTTTAAAATGTTACACCCATATATTCTACTACATGCCTTTTAAAATGTTACACCCATACATTCTACTACATGCCTTTTAAAATGTTACACCCATATATTCTACTACATGCCTTTTAAAATGTTACACCCATATATTCTACTACATGCCTTTTAAAATGTTACACCTATTAATTCTACTACATCTCTATTCATCAACTGTGCATTGCACATGACATTGTGTGTGCTTTCAGGAAGTGGCCCCAGAGGCCCCCCAGGCCCCAGCCCTGACCTGCTAGCCTCACTACAGTCTCTGGGAGAACACAATGACCACACACTGCTGCCACAGTCTCTACACCAGGTGTGTGTGTGTGTGTGTGTGTGTTTTCACCCTCACAAGCAGAAGTCCTCTGTGGATTGGTCCTCTGTGGATTGGCTGATTGTGTTTTGTATCATCCTCTTCTGTCACCAATGTTTTGCCTCTGAAACATCTTGCCTTTCCCTTCTGGTTTCTTTTCATTTGTAGGGAGCAAAATCAAGCTTGAAGAATTGTAATCATTACATTTGACATTTTAGTCATTTAGCAGATGACTACATTAGTGCATTACTCTTTAGATAGCTAGGTGAGACAACAACATATAATCGTAGTAAGCACATTTTCCCTCAGTAAAGTAGTTATCAGCAAAGTCAGTGCCGGTAGGAAAAGACTAGTGCATTTTTAAAAGATTCTCAGTGGGATTTATTTCAGATACTCTTTGATGCCCCTTATCTGTACACTGTTCTAATCTTATTCTGTTACAGCGTTGGCCCTCATAGTTCTGTAATAGCCTTGTAGTTGTTTTTGTTTCTTTGCCAATTCTGGTCATCATGGAACAAAGAGCCAGCTATGATTTAGACGCCCAAAGAAAGGACAGGCAACACTGATACACTGAGGCTGCATCCCAAATGGCACCCTATTCCCTACATATGGCCATTCCATATGGGCCCTGGTCAAAAGTTGCGCACTATACAGGGAACAGGGTGCCATTTGGGATGGGCCCCTTATACACTGATACAGAAGAAAGGGTTGCTCTGTGATCAAACTGGTACAATCAGTGGAGCATTGGCAGAATAACTGGCCAAGAGAAGTAAACTCCTTGTAAACAGGCACTGACCTCTATAGGAAATGTCATGGCATCTTGAGTATGTGTGTCGCTCTACAGAGTTGAGGCAGGGGCGGGCAGAGTTGTTTTGAGTTCTGCTGTGCGTCATGTTATAAGTGAAACTGAGACACAGTGGCTTGTTATTCACCTCGTGACATCTGAGTCCCACCTTGAGTCTTTTCCCCCTATACTTTCCTATACTTTATTTCCAAGCACGAGAATATCTATTCTAGTCTGCAGCTAAAGCAAGCACACCATTTTTCTTCAGCAAAAACCGTTCTAATTAAATTAAATTAATTACTTTCTAAAGTAACCTTTCTAGTTAATGTATTTCCTTTATGTAAGATATTGAGAACACATTCTCTTTTTAAGTAAGGCCCTGGCATACAGTACTGAAGTCTGATTCTGAGTGAGTGATCCAAGTAACAGAATAAGCAGGTCGGTTTGTAATGTTTTTATTCTCTCTCTCTCTCTCGCTCTCTCTCTCTCTCTCTCTCTCTCTCTCTCGCTCTCTCTCTCTCTCTGTCTGTCTCTCTCTCTCTCTCTGTCTCTCTGTCTCTCTGTCTGTCTCTCTCTCTCTCTCTCTCTCTCTCTCTCTCTCTCTCTCTGTCTCTCTGTCTCTGTCTCTGTCTTGTTCTTCACAGATAGCAGAGGCCTACTCCCTGGATGAGGACTGTATCCTTTCCATCACTTATTGCTAATACTTATCTCCACTTTGTCTTTTGTTTTAATAGAGCTGTTGAATAGCAGTGTTTTTCTTTCGAAGCTTTGGGGACTGTGGTGCCACTGTGGGGACTGACTGAAGGAAAGTAAAACAGTGTTTTTGCAGTGTTTCTTAATCTCTCGTGGACAGATTCTTGAGGACAGACGAAACGGCGAGAATCTGTTAAGGCTCACATAGAATTATGTGATTACGAGCAGCAGCAGTTCCTGATTTTGGGTTTTATTAATTGATTATTTGAACGAATCAGGATTGGGCGAAGGCGGTGCTTGTGCAGAGGTTTTCAAGCAGATGTGGATGATAAACGGTTTCCACTAGATTCCACAGACACAAAGTCAAAATTGGCTGTATCGTAAAAATTCATGAAAACAAAAATGTCCCCTTTTGGCCATTATGAACACAGGTGAAATTAGCAGAAGGGAGGGGTTTGGCCATTATGAACACCGGTGAAATTAGCAGAAGGGAGGGGTTTGTCCTAGAATTTCCATTTTAGAGGGAGGAGACTTCGCTTCCTTCCTTTGCACAAAGGTAATCACAGTTGTTAACGGCATTTCCCCCAGAAGTAAAATAGGAAATGACAAACTTTCGCGAAAGAATTTGACCTCTGGGTAACCGAGATTAAGTGTTTCCAGGTGTGCTGGGCAGAGAGGAATATGAATGTTTAGTTTCTGAGTTTCTATAGGTGGGGTATTTTCTTGTGTGGCGAGGTTGTTAGTATTTGGCCTGTTCTGTCATGGGTGGATTTCCCTTGGTCCCTTGCAGTTTCCTCTGGAGTCTACTAGCTGGAGTCTACTCTGTCACTCTGTTTGTGATGTTACCATAGTAACTGGGCCCTGCGGTATAGAGATAATTGTGTGTGGGTGTGGCTGTGTCCAGAGACATAGGGTGCATGTCAAATGGCACCCTATTCCCTAAGATGCAACCATAGTGGTGGTTTATTTTTGGGAGGATTGGGTGTGGAAGTTGGGGGGAGAGAAATGTGTTCTACTGGAAGTAATCCAATTCATTCCCATTGAAATAAGAATCTCACACACACACACACACACACACACACACACACACACACACACACACACACACACACACACACACACACACACACACACACACACAGAGTAAAACACAGAGTAAAACACAGTCAACTGCAAAATAGTAAAGTACACTACCGGTCAAAAGTTTGGACACCTACTCATTCAAGGGCTTTTCTTTATATATATATTTTTTTACATTGTATAATAATAGTGAAGACATCAAAACTATGAAATAACACATATGGAATCATGTAGTAACCAAAAAAGTGTTAAACAAATCAAAATATATTTTATATTTGAGATTCTTCAAATAGCCACCCTTTGCCTTGATGACAGCTTTGCACACTCTTGGCATTCTCTCAACCAGCTTCATGAGGTAGTCACCTGGAATGCATTTCAATTAACAGGTGTGCCTTCTTAAAAGTTAATTTGTGGATTCTTTTTCCTTCTTAATGCATTTGACCCAATCAGTTGTGATGTGACAAGGTAGGGGGGGTATACAGAAGATAGCCCTATTTGGTGAAAGACCAAGTCCATATTATGGCAAGAACAGCTCAAATAAGCAAAGAGAAACGACAGTCCATCATTACTTTAAGACATGAAGGTCAGTCAATATGGAAAATGTCAAGAACTTTGAAAGTTTCTTCAAGTGCAGTCGCAAAAATCATCAAGCGCAATGAACAAAACTGGCTCGCAGGAGGACCGCCACAGGAATGGAAGACCCAGAGTTACCTCTGCTGCAGAGGATAAAGAAGAGACCTGCTTGGGCCAAGAAACACGAGCAATAGACATTAGACCGGTGGAAATTTGTCCTTTGGTCTGGAGTCCAAATTGGAGATGTTTGGTTCAAACCGCCGTGTCTTTGTGAGACGCGGTGTGGGTGAACAGATGATCTCCGCATGTGTAGTGCCCACCGTAAAGCATGGAGGAGGAGGTGTTATGATGTGGGGGTGCTTTGCTGGTGATACTGTTTGTGATTTATTTAGAATTCAAGGCACACCTAACCAGCATGGCTACCACAGCATTCTGCAGCGATTCGCCATCCCATCTGGTTTGGGCGTAGTGGGACTATCATTTGTTTTTCAACAGGATAATGACCCAACACACCACCGGGCTGTATAAGGGCTATTTTACCAAGAAGGAGAGTGATGGAGTGCTGCATCAGATGACCTGGCCTCCACAATCCCCCGACCTCAACCCAATTGAGATGGTTTGGGATGAGTCGGACGGCAGAGTGAAGGAAAAGCAGCCAACAAGTGCTCAGCATATGTGGGAACTCCTTCAAGACTGTTGGAAAAGCATTCCAGGTGAAGCTGGTTGAGAGAATGCCAAGAGTGTGCAAAGCTGTCATCAAGGCAAAGGGTGGCTATTTGAAGAATCTCAAATCTCAAATATATTTGGATTTGTTTAACACTTTTTTGGTTACTACTTAATTCCATATGTGTTATTTCATAGTTTTGATGTCTTCACTATTATTCTTCAATGTAGAAAATAGTAAAAATAAAGAAAAACCCTTGAATGAGTAGGTGTGTCCAAGCTTTTGACTGGTACTGTACATATTCTGGTCATATATATTTTTTATTGAGCAGCAGAACATGCCCTGGAGTAGCTTCAAAATTCCAGTATTTGTTTATAGCGTCATCCATTTTATCTGAATTCTGTGGTTTTCGCACAAGTGTGGCAGCTCAGTGATGTCATCTTCAAAACACCAGATGCTGTATATATTTGTCAGAAGTTTGTTTATATGATCCTGTCTTTTGAATCCCAGAGTTGACAGCTTCAGGGACAGCTGTTATTGGCTGTTGGGGTGTCTGGTTTCCTTAACTGCTAATGGTTATCAGACCAGTGGGCGGTGCAGTTCCTGCAGCTGGAGAAACTGTACCATGAGCGCCTCCTGTCCAACCTCGCTGCCCTGCAGGAGGACTGGGGTACTGCACTCTACTCCACACATCTGTTCTGTCACTGCAGCCTGAAGTCCTGAACCCATGACTGACTAAATATAACCATGTCATTCTTCCAATTCCACTGTGTGTGTGTATGTGTCTGTGTGTGTGTGTGTTAATCTTAACCTGTGTGCTTCCAGAGAGCCAGTGGAGAGAGCGTAACAGAGCAGCAGACAGCCCCTCCCAAGCTGAGACCAACAGCATTGGACAGGAGAACATAGAGATGCTGCGACAGATCTGCAGGACGCACCAGAGGTGAGATAGATACTGGTGGACCATGACATACTGATGTAGCATAGTGCTGTTCTAGAACTGGGACTAAATGCACAATCACTTGGACAGTGAGTTGCAGCAACGGTACTGATTGTGGCAGTAGACGGGAAAGCAAAGCATGCCTATTTACTTTAGTTTGTCACATTCTGTCACCACCCACAATAGTAACTCTCCATATGGGGATCAAAGGAATTTGAACAACAAACACTGTCTGCATTTAAATGCATATTTTAATTAAAACATGATTTATTAGCTAAAGTCATAATATGTGAGATCATACCCTATATTTGAACTTTGAACATAAGCATTCTACTCTAGACATGAAACAACACCTTAATTAACTAACGCTCATTTAATTATCAAATATTTCTCCTTACTTACTCTACTAAGCTTTAGACTCAGATATGTTTTCAGTCACAGAACCCCGCCCATGTCTCTTGGTATGTTAGTAGGGTCGTTCCACTAAATGAGTGCCTTTTGCGTCCCTTTGGTACTTCAAGTAGAAATTGTGCACAAATATAACATTTTGAAAGCCTGTATTATTAAATGAAGTGTCCTTTTAAAATAGACCACATGGAAAATTCAATAAATCTGATTTTGAATATCAATGAAGACTTGCTAAAGTGCCACAATTGTCCCTCTGTGCATCCCCTGTGACTTCTAGGAAGATTTTAACCCATGTAACCCTAACATTTTTCTAAGTTTTCACCAATATTATAAAGCCCTAGTCATTTCTGAAGATTATTATTTATTTCATGTGATTAGTGATTCATTTTAAGGAAAAAAACAACAACCTGTCCCTCATTTTAAGTTCAACCCTGTTACGTGAACTGAACTTCCTTTTTAATATCGTGAAACTATTCATTTTCGATGTTTTTTTCAAAAAAAACATTGAACATCTAATAGTCAAATCATAGTGTAAAAGCAGGTGAGCAGGTTCTACTCTTTTTTTGGTTACCCAAAGATAGAAAGTCTAGAAATGTTTAAAAAAAAATTTGGGGGGGTGAAGCATGCATTCAATTGCCCCTCCCTGTTGCACACAACAAGTGTCCATTCCCCCTGTCACAAGGGGATTTATGGCTGATTTACAGTAAGATTAAACTACTCAAAAGGCACCTAATTGGTTGAACGACCCAGTAGCTTGTGGCAATTTGATGTAGATTGATTTAGCTTTAACATTTTAAAATAAAATGGCTTCAAAACATCAACTTACCCAATCTGACCTCTCCTCTCCTCTCCTCTCCTCTCCTCTCCTCTCCTCTCCTCTCCCTCTCCCTCTCCCTCTCTCTCTCTCCCTCCCCCGTAATAGACCAATGCTTAGTGCGGAAATGGTAAGAAAATACATAGCACTACACACCACCCTTTTGATCATGTTTCTTAGTCCATCACATAAGATTAGTGTTTTTGTGACATGGCATTCATGACAGATCTGTTTTTTTCCAGAGCATGGCAGACACGGTGCTGAAAGACAGCCACAACACCAGGGGGCAGTGTGATGGGAGAGAGAGAGAAAGGTCACCATCCCACCATGGAAAAGGTCAACACAAAACCCATCAGATGAATTCCTAAATCAATATTATAGAATGGCCACTTGAGGTTGATGATATCGTCCACTTTGTTCACTGGAAGTTTGGTTCTAATCGATAAGGGCTCATAATATGGAATCTGATGCCAGATGATGCTTCCATACTGTCTCAGCTATATCTACTATTAGTGTGTGTTAGTGTGTGTCTATCTATGGTGAAGCCAGGTGATGGATCACACACACCACACCGAATGTCCATCTGCTGTTCATCTGCTCTTCATCTGCTGTTCGTTCACTGTTCGTTCGGCGCGGTGTGTTTTAAGGACCACCCTGCCGGTGGCCGTCTGACTGATTACATTTTCGTTCGATTCTACATGTAGAACCGGTTTGCACTCGGTTTGCAAATTACGTCCGACACTCTGTTCAGAGGTGCTGAGTACTCTTGGCTGGCAAATGCTACTGGTGTGTCCGTGCTTTAAGCAACACTTCTCTTGTCTGCAGTCAGAGTCAACAACCCTGTGAGACAGAGTGAGGAGGATGTTGAGCAGACCACGTCATCAGCTGTCCCTGACATGGCTGAGGAGGAGGGAGGAGAGGAGGAGGGAGAGCGAGGAAAGGAAGAGATGGCGGAGGAAGGGCAAGGGGTGGATGAAGAGGAGGTGTTTGAGGAGAGTCCAGAAGAGGAGGTGCAGGTGGTGGAGTGGCCAGCGGGGGTTCCCCAAGCCTCAGCCAAAGACCTGGTCAAACTGTCTCAAGTGGAGGAGGTGAGAAAACACTGTGATAGAGACATAAACGGCCTCATAACATTAACGGCCTCATGTTTACCGCCTTATCTCTCTCTCTCAGTTATCTTCTCTCGTTCTCCTCTCTCTCTCTCTCTCTCTCTCTCTCTCTCTCTCTCCTCTCTCTCTCTCTCTCTCTCTCTCTCTCTCTCTCTCTCTCTCTCTCTCTCTCTCTCTCTCTCTCTCTCTCTCTCTCTCAGTTATCTTCTCTTGTTCTCTCGCTCTCGCTCTCGCTCTCGCTCTCTTTCTCTTTCTCTTTCTCTGTCTCTGTCTCTGTCTTTCTTTCTCTGTATTTCTTTCTCTGTCTTGTTTGGGAGGGGACACACATTTTGGATTGACACACAGCCCTGGACAGGCTCAAGGGAGCCCGGAGAAGTCTTGGTAGAGGAGCTGGGTCTGTAATCGGAATTGGCTGTGTTTGTTACTTCATTCCATGTGCTGAGCCACACCAAGCGACGTGGCCATGGGTGGAACTCTGTGAGATTTGAGGACAGGACACAGAGGCTATGATGTCATTAAAGGGCCACAACAGACGCCTGTAGAACAAATAGCTCACATACAGGTCCTGCTAAATAAATCAGACAATGGTTTTGACAATGACGTCCTGAAATTACAAAATATTAGAAGCTTTTTTAAACCTCGAATACAGTTTGCATTTCCTGCAACAACAGGGTGATCAAATAAAGATCCTACATCTGTGCATCATTGCAGTTTGTTGTGCAAACATACAATTAATTTCACCTCTAGGTGGCGTTATTTCCAATACAGAGCACTACTTTTGACCTGGTCAATATAGTGAACATGGTGCCATTTCAGATATAGCCTGGGATTTTCCGTCTATTCCCTGTAATAATACCACTCATTCCCACCACTCTGCTCCCCTCCAGAGCTCCTCACCAGATGGCCTGGTGTCCATTCTAAAGAGGAGGAGGGCGTCGTTAGATGGCCTGCCCCCCGAGGGTCCCGATGCAGCCAAACAGAACTCCAAACGCAAGGTCCGCTTCAGCGAGCCAGAGGATGGCATGGAGCCAGGTATGGATCAGCCCAAAAACAACCTCTGTCTTCACACACACACATTTTAGCAGACGCTCTTATCCAGAGCGACTTACAGTAGTGAGTGAATACATTTTCATACTGGTCCCCCGTGGGAATCGAACCCACAACCCTGGCGTTGCAAGAGACACGCTCTACCAACTGAGCCACACGGGGACCCCCCCCACACACACACACACACGCACACACACACACACAGTCTATACAAGCTATACTTATTATACATGAACTCTTATATCTTCAATAAAAACATAATAATGTCAATGTAAATGTATGATAATAGCATTGTAGTAACACCTCACACCATCTGTGTTTACCATCTGCACCACGTACCATTATCTGTGTTTACCATCTGCACCATGTACCATTATCTTGTTCAAAATATTAATCTGTATTTTTTTTTCTCTGTGCAGACGAGGTGGGCGTAGACTCGTTTTTGATCCTGCTGTTGTTGTGCCTGGTAACCGTGGTGATCAGTCTGGGCGGGACAGCTCTGTACTGCACCCTAGTGGACACATACAGTAGCATCTGCATTGACTTCTCTCACAATGTAGACTTTTATGTTGTGCACATACAACGCTTCCTGGACAGGCTCAAACACTGGCTGCCCATACGATCATAGTCAGGACTTAGTCTACTGCTGCAGTCAGGACATACTGTCACTTACTGCTGCAGTCAGGACATACAGTCCTGGCTCCCGAGTGGCGCAGCGGTCTAAGGCACTGCATCTCAGTGCTTGAGGCGTCACTACAGACCCCCTGGTTCGATACCAGGCTGTATCACAACCGGCCGTGATTGGAAGTCCCATAGGGCAGCGCACAATTGGCCCAGCGTCGTCCGGGTTTGGCCGGTGTAGGCCGTCATTGTAAATAAGAATTTGTCCTTAACTGACTTGCCTAGTTAAATAAAGGTTAAATAAATAAAATAAATAAAACAGTCAGTTACTGCTGCAGTCAGGACATACAGTCAGTTACTGCTGCAGTCAGGACATATAGTCAGTTACTGCTGCAGTCAGGACATACAGTCAGTTACTGCTGCAGTCAGGACATGCAGTCAGGACATACAGTCAGTTACTGCTGCAGTCAGGACATATAGTCAGTTACCTACTGCTGCAGACAATATAGACTCAGTAGCCCACTGTAGCAGTCTATGGACTAAACATACAGAAGCCTACCTACTGTAGCAGTCTATGGACTAAACATACAGAAGCCTACCTACTGTAGCAGTCTATGGACTCTTATGAAACCCTGGGTGTTAGATAAGCAAGGATATAGTGTAAGACTGGTCACACACTACTGGTTGAAGAGAATGGTTTAGGTGAAGTCAGACACAGGCTCCCAGTGCTGTCCTAGCCAGGGCATAGAAGTGGATTATATACTGTTTGAACTGCTCTGAGACTGGAACAAGAGGGAGGACTTGACAATGTCTCAGTATGAATTGAAGAAGGTCATAAGGTCATTGATGCTTTGGGGAAGAGCCTGAAATAGAGACTGAACGGGCTTATGATCATTGACCCAACAGGAGACACAGTTACAGACATTTTTAACGACTGACATTTCAGATAGAGACCAAACTGTTTCCAGAACACTGCTTCCCATCTTGTTTTTAACCTCTTGTTTTTAACCTCAAGATGGACGCCACGCAAAAGACCTCCCAAAACCACTGAGGAACAAAACATAGCATTGTAAAGTACAGGTAACTGCCAAAATAAAGGAAACAACAACATAAAGTGTCTTAATGTCTTAATAGGGCATTGGGCCACCACAAGCCGCGAGAACAGCTTCAATACACATTGGCATAGATTCTACAAGTGTCTGGAGCTCTGTTGGAAGAATGCGACACCAATCTTCCACGAGAAATTCCATAATTTGGTGTTTTGTTGATGGTGGTGGAAAACACTCCAGAATCTCACATGTTCAATTTGGTTGAGATCTGGAGACTGTGACAGACACACACACACACACACACACACACACACACACACACACACACACACAGACACACAGACACACACACACACACACAGCCACACACACACACACAGCCACATACACACACACAGTCACACACACACACACACACAGACACACACACACACACACACACACACAGAAACACACACAGCCACACACACACACACACACACAGCCACACACACACACACACACACACACACACACAGCCACACACACACACACACACACACACACACACACACAGACAGACACACTTGAAACCCCCATGCTCCTTTGAGACCCATCTTTCAACGTCATTGAGACCCCAAAATAATGGGCAACTGGGCATTTTTATACATGACCCTGAGCATGATGGGATGTTAATTGCTTAATTAACTCAGGAACCACACCTGTGTGGAAACACCTGCTGTCAATATAGTTTGTATCCCTCATTTACTCAAGTGTTTCCTTTATTTTGGTAGTTACCAGTATATTCCAGTTGGAATTTTTAATGAGAAAATATGTTTATCTGAATTTGTAAAGATGTTCATCTGAAAAACAGATACAATTCAGATAAACAGTAAAGATGTTTATCTGCATTTGAGAGCCTCATGGTAAAACTTGGGGTACAGTAGGCTATTAAAAAACGCCTCGACTCCTTGACTTGTCAAATGTAGCCTACATGTTATACATTTTGCAGATGTTTTTGTATGTGGAGACGGGTTTAGAATGACTCTTACATTCCTCTTAAGGAACTCATGGTTGTTGACCACTGCAAACGAAAGTCCTCATTTGTGAAGAACGGCTCTCTGGAATTGGCACATTGTAAAGTAATTTGCTGATCACCGAGTAACGATATCAATACAAATATGCATGACCGATACTGTATGTATGGCTCTTGGTATGACAATATGAACAAAGGTCAATGCATTTTAATGTAGTCATGACATTCAGTACTGTACAGATTACTCAACATCTCAGGCACTAATGTCCTTTATTTGCATTTTATTCTGAGTCTATTTTAATGTATTCAATACAAATCCATTCCCTTGCTTTTGTGAATAGACTTTGTTTGCTTTTATCTACTGTATGTCAAGGATCTCCAAATCAGTACCCGGAGATCTAGTGGGTGTGCAGGCTTTCATTCCAGCCCAGCAGTAACACCTGATTCTGCTAACTGTGGTCCGATCTGAAGACGATACTGCAGGGCTGGTTCAAAATCCTGCACACACAGTAGCTCTCCAGGACCAGAGTTGGAGAACCCTGAGCTAAACCCAGTGCGTCGTTGGTTCAGACAGCACAGAGAGCACACACATCTGTGTTTGATGGAGATCAGACAGGAAGTCACAGTTTATCATTGGAATGTCCCAGACTTCTGTTCTATCCATTGCCTCTGGCATTGGTGTCTTTGGTCAAAGTCTTATTTCTCTCTCTCTGTGCTCTCTAAATGGCTGTGGTTGAGTAATGTCAATGAATGCTGCCTCTAATTTTCACTGGATGTTGTTTACTATTGTGTTGCATCATACAATCCATGTTTATATGTTGCAGTATTTTTGTTGACTTGTTTTCTCAATGGAATATAAATTATATCAAGGAAACTTGGTATGTTGATGTTATTTTACTGTTCTCACTGGCATGAGTTGTGCAACGTTGTAGCCTACACACTGTGATGTAATATCACCAACTGGTCACAAGATGTCTCAGTAAACCATGAAACCAAACCAGCCACTATGAATCTAGAAATATTAGTATTAATTATACTGCATACTATTAAGCATTGGACTACAGCTCAGTCGACTCAAACAAGATTGCTGCATAGCTTATATGTTTTCAGACAATGTTTGAGTTATTTCAGATAGCCTTAGTAACACTAGGGGTGTTTTACAGTAGTCTGCCCTTCCCCAGGTTCATTTGCACGTTGCACTGAGTAAACTAGCCTACAGTAAACGGGCATTAGTGCACAATGGTGACTGTAACCGTTACCAGCCCTGACAACATTATCATATTCGGAGCCTCTGGTTTTATCAGGCAGTTTGTGGTGGAAGAGGCCAGGGGCGCCGCCGAAGGACCCAGCGGGTCTCTGAAATGGGCCTCGGCCGGGCAGAGCAGACAGTGGCTGGAGGGAGTTCTGAACCATCCCCCCGAGAGTGACGCTCCGTACGTGTTGTACACTAGCCTAACCAGAAAAGAGAAGCAAGTGTATACTGCCTGCTGCCAGTAAAATAAAGATTGAATGTAAAGCATGGTTTGACTAGGCTACTATCTAATGATTTACAGCGGCAACAGTATCAGTTACCTTCAAACGACTAGGCATATGCTGGATGCACACACAGTAGTTGTTCTCTACGTGCAAACAACAACACTGCTGAACTTGACATTTAAACACGTGTCTCAATATTTAACTAGGTGCTTGCTGCAGTTTAATCCCAGTTGGTGTCATAGCTGTATGTGATTTATAATGACTAAGTCTGAATGAATGAATGAATAAACCAATCACTGTATGAGTTAGGACTGATCCCACTGCCTTGTGACTTAATAGTGCAAACTGGTCAATTAATGCAAATATTTCCAAACTGTATGATCAGTCTAAATGCCTATTTCAAAATGTAATTAAGCTACTATGATTCATTATAAATGTGTGAGTTTTAACCAATGCATGCATTCAGCACAACTTTGATCTCAGTTTCCAGGTAAGCCAGAGTTATTAAAGGACTGAAGTTGAAATAATCATGGCTGATGTTTCCGAAGCAGACTCATTGGCCATCATGTGCCAACAAGGACTGGTTGTTCTCAACTGTGTGGGGCCAGTTATAATGAGTGTTGTTGTTGTTGAGACCTGGGAGGAAGGAGAAGGTTGGCTGGCCTCTCACAACTGTGGGCATGAGTTGTCATTCGTCCAGACTCCCAAGGTACTCTTGTCCCCAATGATATAATTGGAAAACTGTCACTGCGCATTAAGCTTGTTAGGAATATGCTGACTGTGGAGCTGTGTCCTGGGTACTGCAGTACAGTACAATAGACTCTGCTCTATCAGTATGTATGGACCATAATAATATGTTGGCAAAAGCAAAGATATGGGAATTATATAGGGAGATGATGGTATACTTTTGACTTTTGATAAGGTGATGATGAGTTGATGACTTACGCATGCATGCACACACACACACACATGCACACACACACACACACACACATGCACACACACACACACACACACACAAAAGAGAAAGAGGCAATGAACCTAAGACTGAACCCAAGACCCTTTCATAACATCTGAGTTGTTTGCATTCAAAATCTGAGCTGTTGACCAATAGTATTAGTGTAAAGTTAACCTCCAATCAGATATCAGACCTACAGACCTATAAAAACAACAGAACAATGGGGGTTGGTGAGATCAACACAGAGAAGGCTGAATTCCTAACACAACACAGAATAATCCTTGCACACAATTGGTGAGAGTCACTTCGGGGGCTGGGCCACACACATACGCCAATACCCCTATTGACACCAAATCTTATTGAGTCCCTTTTTCTTGTCTCCCTAGTACAGGTTCTATGGTGAGTCAGTGGTCAAGGCCTGTATAGACATCAGTGGAGAACCTCAGGTAGAGTATCGTTATATAACACCATCATATTAACTGTCTGTTTTTATGGTTCTATTAGCTGCC